AGCTGGCCTTGAACCATTACCCTCCTAATTTCTGTTTCCTAAGTAGCTGAGATTACAGGCATGTACTAGCATGTCTACTAAAATAGGTCATGTACCTTTCTGTTGTTATAATTCAGATCACATAGTACAAAGACAGACAGGGAGGTCTGTAGACATTGCCCTGCACAGCCATTAAGGGAACTTAGGTTTTCATTTATTCAACACAAATTAATTACTACTCAGTTTTTGGAGCAGTGCAAAGTATAGAGGATATGACTATTAACATGACACTGTCATGCCTTCAAGTAGGTTCACTCATAGTCTTGTTAAGAAGATAGGCAGAGAAACAGTATTTTTTTGGGGGGGAGGTTTTAGTCGTGGGGCCTGAACTCTGGGCCTGGGTGCTGTCCCTCAGCTCTTCAGCTCAAGGCTAGCGCTCTACCACCTGAGCCACAGTGCCACTTCCAGCTTTTTTCTTTTTGCTTATGTGGTGCTGAGCAATCAAACCCAGGGCCTCAGGCATGCAAGGCAAGCACTCTACCACTGAGCCACCTTCCCAGCCCAGAAACAGTATTTTTTTTTAAAGCATAGTGGAGGTATCTGGAATTAACCATCTCTTCCTCCAGGTGGGATGGGAAGGAGCTAGGTGTTTGCTGTGCCTGTAGTTCGAGTATGGATTAATGTGGAGAGAGACAAAGCATCAGAGATAGAAGAGCAGGTAGGGATCAGATCAGGGGATTCATAAGCCATGCCCATGAAATTGTGTTTTATTCTGCAGAAAGTAGAGAGTTAGGATGTTTGCTTTTGTGTGTGTTTGTGTGTCTGTCATGGGGCCTGAACTCGGCCTGGGCGCTGTCCCTCAGCTCAAGGCTCAGGGCTAGAACTCTACCACTTGAACCACAGGGCCACTTCTGGCTTTTTCTGCTTATGTGGTGCTGAGGAATCAAACTCAGGGCCTTATGCATACAAGGCAACCACTCTATCACTGAGCCACCTTCCCAGCCTCAGGATGTTTGCATTTTATAAAGATGAAAGGATGGGTTCAGAACATGGTAGAAAGTAGAAGGCTACAGACATGACCAAATGGTAGAGTGCTAGGCTAGCAAGACTGAAGGTAGACAAACAAGAGTAGTTGCCTGCAGAAAGATAAGATCTGAGTCAAGGCAGTAGCCGTGGATATGGTGAGGAGGGGCAGATGTGAGAGATGTTAGGAAAAAGAATTGTCAGGGCTTAATCGCAAAGTAGTCTGAGTAGTGGGAGATGGGGCTGGATCCAGATGTTTGGAGAAAAGGATAAAATCCTGACTTTATCTCCCATCTATGGAATACACAATACATTCAGCTGTAAAATCAGGGTCCAATGAAGTATCAAGCCACAAGAGGGGAAAGGGAGTCCAATACCCAGCTCAGGAGGGTGGCAAAGTAAAGGTACTGTAGTCTAAGACCATCCCTTTACATGGTTCTTGGATTCCTTCCTATGTGTCTGTCCAAAGTCTATTTCTTGCATTTGTGCCCTGTTTCACATTGACTTACTCTGTTACTTCTTTCCAGTATTTAAGCATTCTCTATTGTCTCTCCTCAGCCCAAATGACCAAGCAGAAATGTTTCTGTTACCCCACACTCCCTTCCAACTACTACCCCATTTTATGTTTCCATCTTAGAAAAACAGGGTTGAATGAACTCTCCTCTACATCCATCCTCATCTACTTCCTCTCTTTCCCATTGTCTTGAATTCCTTTTAGTCAGGCTTCCCTTCTTTCCCCTCTCTTCATCTCCTCCTCTCTTCTTAAGGCCACAGTGACCTCTGCATTGTCAAATCTAGTGGTCATTTCTCAGTCTTTTGTCTTCCTTGGTTGTTGTCATCAGGCTGGACTCTGTTGCACACTCCCTACTTTTTGAAGGTCTCTCAGGACATCACTCTTGATGGTTTTCTTACACCCTAAATGCTCTTCGCAGTCTTCTTAACTAATTCCTCACTTACCCTTACTTTGAAATACTGATAATTCTAGACTCAATTCTTGGCCTTGTCTGGCAACATTTCATTTTAGGTGGATTGCATCTAGACATAGACATACAAATAATACCTATCTCTTACTAATGACTCCCAAATTGAAATGTATAACCTAAACTCCATTCCACCAGGTGCTCAGACCAAGGTGTGTCTCAAGCCTGCTGCAGCTGGTACACCACTGTGGTCCGAGTGGTAGGTGACTACCTTTGATCCTTGGCTGTGGTTCAGAGATGGTTGGCAAACAGCTGTCATGAGAACCCTGAAGAAGAAAAGCTGGAGACTCTGACAGATTGGGAGATCTGGCCACATAAAAGGGCTTGCTTGGGTGTGTGTCTTCCTGAGAACACGTGGATCTAGGTACTGTCATTCACAGGGCCATTGACCTCTAGCCCAATAGGGAGAATTACCTTGCCTCCACTTTCAGTATCAGTATCAGAGCTAAGAAACAACTAAAAGTAAAACAGATGTCCATACCAGTGAATGCCTCCTGCCATAGAAACTCATTGTCAGAAAGACTCTAACATCCTGACACCTGGCCCTTGTATGTCCTTCCTTAAGTCTTGTTGCTCCAGGGGATAGATTCTCCTGAGCCCTTCTCTAACCCAGGAGCAGAGACTGAGGGCATTTCTTTCACCTGTAGTTGTGAATCACTGAAACAGAGTCCTTTGTGAAACTCAAGCCCTCATTTGCTTAGGGACCTTTTGCATCTATGTTTTTATAAAGTAAGAAGAGACCTAACGCCTCTGTTCATTGTGACTAGACTGGGATCTCCCCTGGTTAGAGCCTGGTTCATTCATTGTCCTGCTACTGCCTGCCTTAGAGAGGGCCAGAGCTTATTCTGTTCACACCTCCTCACTGCGTAGTCTCTCTGGTCATTGGCTTGTCCTGGCACTGAATTTCTATGCCCATGTGCACATGGGATAGCTCTTGTTTAACTTGCCCTTTTAAAAACAACTTAAGCATGTTGAGGTTTCCTGTTGATCAGGGGCAGCCAGAGGCTGTGACCCAGCAGGGAATTGTCAGCCAATCCCTGACTCACCAGAGCTCATTTTCAGTGTGTGAGCAAGCAGTGACAGCAGCCTGGCTTGGGGCGCTGGCTGCTGTACTGTGGATAGCATGGCACTCTGGAAGCTGCAAGACTACATAGCCCAGCTTTGAGGGCTATAGCATTATGGTCAGGTAGGTCTTTGCCAGGGGCAGTAGTGACAAAATACTGCAATATTTGAACTAAAACAGCTTAGGAAAAAAAATTCTTGAAGTTGATCATGATTACCATAGTCAGTAGACAACTCGAAAAGTGTGCTGAGAAAATCTGCTCATGCTTCTCTTCAGCAAGCTCACTCATTTTCACCTTTTGTTCTTCATTCACTGATCAACTTACACTGACATTTGGCATAGAAGAAGTCATCCAGCCAGGAGGACCAAGAAGGTCTGTTGAAGTTCCACAGCTATGTTCTAAACTCGGCTATGCCCAGTGTTGTAGAATGTCAGTTGAGCTTTGCTTGAGGGCTCAAGGGTCCACAAAGAGGGTGGTGGCTACTGCTTAATTAGTCTCAACCTAGCTTCATGTAAATTCACATGAGATAGTTAACCTTTGTAGGCCATGAGTCTTTCTTACTTTTTTTTTTTTTTTGGTCGGTTGTGGGGCTTGAACTCTGGACTTGGGCGCTTTCCCTGCACTGTTCAGCTCAAGGCGAGCGCACTACCCCTTGAGCCACAGCACTTTTCTAATGGTTTATTGGAGATAAGAGTCTCACGGACTTTCCTGCCCAGGCTGGCTTTGAACCGTGATCCTCAGATCTCAGCCTCCTAAGTAACTAGGATTACAGGCGAGCCACCGGCACCTGGCTGTCTTTCTTACTTTTTAGATGAAGATAATAATACATGATAATAACCATATAGAATTGATGTGAAGATCAAGTGAGTAAGTGTATGTAAAAGTATTTATTTGGAATTGTTCTCAGAATTTAAGACTTGTATAGCTTATCAACTGTACTCCTTAGACAGCGCTACCATGCAGTAGAAGTATCACAGAACCCAGTAGTGTTGTGCATCTACTGTACAGCAGAGATGTATTCAGAGTTGCTGTCTTCCTCATTGGCCTCTTGATTGAGAGGGTGGAAAGGACTTTTCTTGAGGACCTCCCCTCACATTTTTTTGAGACCCTTGAGGCTCCTGATTATGGTCAGGAGCTAAGCTGAGAAAGTGAGATCTTGTGTCCAGTAGCATAAATCTCAGGGGAGGGAGGGTTTAAGTATTTGAACCTGTGTATTTGAGGTTCTTTGAGGAAGTAGTACGCTAGAGTTCTTTGTCTCAGCTCAAAGAATTATTATTAGCATATCTTTTCAACTCTACACTCAATGATGTCACATTGGTAACTCATCTATAGTAGGAATATTTATACTGGGAAATCTGGCACCAATCTGTGCTGCTTCCCCAGAGAGCCAGTTGGCCATTGAGCAGCACACTACTGGTCTCACTGTTGTCTGGTTGACAGGTATAAATTCCTGGGATACTATGGCCTGTTCCAGAACAGGCTCTTGCTTCATGTATTACATAGGACCTCTGAGGATAAGTTGGGAGAGAGGCACCTTGAGCTTGGCTCAGGACCTGTTCTCACCTTTAGAATGTCCTTGAGCCAGGCACCAGTGATTCATACTGGTAATCCTAGTTACTCAGGAGGCTGAGATCTGAGGGTTATGGTTCAAAGCCAGCCTGAGCAGGGAAGTCCACAAGACTCTTATCTCCAATTAATTACCAGAAAACTGAAAGTAGTGCTGTGGCTCAAGTGGTAGAACACTAGCCTTTAGAAAATAAGCTCAGGGACAGTGCCAAGGCTCCCAGCTTCAAGCCCTAGGACTGGCACCAAAAAAAAAAAAAAAGGACCTCGAAGGTGCACTAGCTGAACAGTGTACTTTTGACTTTGAGAGAAAGAGAGTTGGTGCTCTTGAAGAACGAAGACAAGATGTCTTTGTTTGTTTTCACTGTTGTTTTCTTTCCTTCACTCCTAGGTCTCAGTCAGTCTCTCCACCTCCAGTTCTGTCTCCACCGAGGAGTCCCATCTACCCCTTCAGTGACAGTGAAACGTCAGCCTGCAGGTTCCCCAACCGATCCAGCTCCCGGCTCCTCCTCAAGGACCGGCATCCCTGTGATTCTTCACCCCCAAATCCTCAAGATCTCTCCCCAGATACTTCACCACCCACCTGTCCCCTTAAGGTCACCAGCGTCAGCTATTTGGACAGGAGCCCTTCAGTGTACAAGAGAGAGGGCCAGAAGGACAATGTCCAGGGTGCAGCCCTGGATGGAGAGGGAGTAGCTGCTTGCCTCCCCCTTGCCCAGAGCACCCCCTTCCTTGGGCCAGTGGCTGGCCCACGCAGTGTCTTGCTGACCCGCACTGGCACCCGTACCCACAACCTGGGTATACGGGAGAAGATCTCAGCATGGGAAGGTCGCCGAGAGGTGTCAGCCAGGATGAGCCTGTGTGGAGAGAAGCTGGAGGGCTCTGGAAGCGAGTGGGCGGCCAGTGAGGGCTGCCCCAGTGTGGGCTGCCCCAGTGTGGTGCCATCTCCCTGCAGCTCAGAAAAGACCTTTGATTTCAAGGGCCTCCGGAGGATGAGCAGGACCTTCTCTGAGTGTTCCTACCCTGAGACCGAGGAAGAGGGAGATGTACTCCCTGTCCGGGACTCTTTGTACCGGCCAGAGAAGCGGTCAGGCCGGAGTGAGCCCAGTACCTTCCTCAGGGGGCATGGCAGCAGGAAGGAGAGCTCAGCAGTGCTGAGCCGGATCCAGAAAATTGAACAAGCCCTAAAGGAGCAGCCAGGCCGGGGGCTCCCCCAGCTCCCCAGCAGCTGCTACAGTATAGACCGTGGGCGAAGGAAGACAAGCACCTTGGGCACCTTGGAGGAGCCAGCAGGGGGCACAGGTGTGAGCTCTGGCAGCCAGACAGTTGGATTGGCTGGAGTTGGGGGGGAGGCAGGCCCACCCCTGGACAGGGAAAGCAGTGGTTCCACGAAGCCAGGATCCCCTGGAAATAGCCCTCGTTCCCAGCGGCTACCATTGAAGAGCTCCCCTGATCCCGCTGTGAACCCTGTCCCCAAACCTAAGCGCACCTTTGAATATGAGGCTGACAAGAACCCCAAGAGTAAGCCAAGCAATGGTCTACCTCCTTCGCCCACACCTGCTGCTCCACCTCCCTTGCCCTCCACCCCAGCCCCACCAATCACCCGGAGACCCAAGAAGGACATGCGTGGTCATCGCAAGTCCCAGAGCAGGTAACACATGCCCCTCTTACATCTTATAGTGGAAGCCAGGGCATTCTTTTAAACGGAGGATGCAAGAGCAGATTGTGCTGTGTATCACAGGAGTGCAGGTGCTCCAAAGCACCAGATAATCCTCAGTTTGGTAGTTGTGAAAAATGAGGTGGTTCTGCTCTCCTGGTGTTGGTAAGAGGGTGAGGGGTGAAAGCTCTTAGTGCTATATACTGAAGACATGGGCTTTGGGGAGAGCTGGACTGTGTGCTGAACTCTGTTGCAGCTTCCTTACTTCTTTGTGGGAAGGTCAAAGCTACTCTTATTTTTAGGTTGAGTAGGCAGTCCCTTGAGGACTAGTAAGAGTTTAGCCTCATTACTACATAAAGTGCTAGCACTAGAAATTTCTGCAAGTGTACTGTTATCCAAATATTGTGTTCCATCATTAATTATGGCAATGTTGGTGAATTTAAGGTGATTTTTCCTTTTCTGGGGAAACCTTGGGCCTGTTACAGGAGGGGATTCTTAGATCCTGAGCGATGGATGAACAAAGGGAGTAGAAAAGCATTTCACCTGCTACTTGGCTAAGTCCAAGAATTGCCTCTCCTGAGGGTTCCCACTGTTTCCTTGGTCAGTTTTCCTTCCTAACTCGGGACTACAGGGCTACCTGCTCAGAGTGGCTTGGAAGCTGGAGTTTTTGCAGCTGGTAAGAGTTGCCAGGCACTCGGGGCTGGGAAGGTGGCTCAGTGGTAGAATGCTTGCCTTGCATGCATGAGGCCCTGGGTTCGATTCCTCAGTACCACATAAGCAGAAAAAGCTGGAAGTGGTGCTGTGGCTCAAGTGGTAGAGCTGAGAGACAGCACCCAGGTTCAGAGTTCAGGCCCCATGCCCAACCAAAATAAAAAAAGAGTTGCCAGGCACCTCTTTGCTGAATTCAGTAGCCAGCTTCCTATAAAGGCTTTATTGTCCTATCCATTACTGCTTTTCTCATGTAGCCCCAAGTCAGATAGACACTCAAGCTTTGTTTCGCTTGGGGGAGTCTTCAGTATGTCCCTGTATTTTAGGCTTTATTCAGCACATCCCATTTCACATGTGAATCCCTGCCATGTGCAGATAACAGTCCTAAATGTTCAGACTCTTAAAGCAGGCAGCTCATGGCTAAGGGAAATTCTGTGCTGTGGCCCACTGCAGAATGTTCACTGGCTCTTTCTTTACTAGGCTTATTCATCCATTTTTATAGACATCTGTCCAGAGCCTGTTGTCCACCAAGCCTTATGCTGGTCAAAGGGACACAGAGGCAAATAGGACAAGGTTCCTCCATTCAAGGCCCTCAGATGAGTCACAGATAATGAGCCAGCCTGAAGTGTTAAGTGTCATGGCCTATGTGAGTGCAGATCACTACAGAGACCCAGAGAGGCATCTCTGTTGGACTAAACAGCAAGGAGACATTGTCATGGAGAGACTTGCTGAGCTGAATTTAGAACTGCAAAATGCAGGTTAGCTTGTTTACAAGAGGGAGTGGCAGGGGCTTATCAACCTGAAAGTGTTTTTTGTTGGTTTGTTTTGTCAGTCGTGGGACTGAAACTTGTGGCCTGGATGCTGTTCCTGAGCACTTCTGCTCAAAGCTAGCCCTCTACCATTTTGAGCCACAGTGCCACTTCCTGTTTTCTGGTGGTTAATTGGAGATGAGTCTCATACACTTTCCTGCCCAGGCTGGCTTTGAACCATGATCCTCAGATTTCAGCCTCCAGCACCTGGTTTCACCTGAAAGTTTTACACAGCTACCCATATATTACATTTGTAATCTATATACACATGCCTGCCCATACATTACATTTGTGTGTCATGTATATACACACATGCCAAATATGACAGAGTCACAAGAATTTAGCAAACTTTATGCTCTTGGATAAAAAGGGAAAATTCAGAAAGTTGTTGTTTGCCTTTCTACCTGGAACAGGTTCCCTTAAAGGTTATTAGGTAGGCTGGGTACTGGCGGCTCATGCCTGTAATCCTTGCTACTCAGGAGGCTGCAATCTGAGAATCATGGTTCAAAGCCAGCCTGGGCAGGAAAGTCCATGAGACTGTTATCTCCAATTAATTACCAGAAAACTGGAAGTGGTGCTGTGGCTCAAGTGGTAGAACACTTGCCTTGAGCTGAAGAGCTGAGGGGCAGCACCCAGGCCCAGAGTTCAAGTCCCATGACCGACCAAAAAAAAAAAAAGTATTAGAGAGTAAGTTTGTATCTATTATGCCAGTGTGCTTCTCATATACTTAAAATGAAAGCCATATACTAGTATTCAACCAAAGAAAAAGAAATATATTTCTTTAAAATCCAGGGAAGAAATTAACTATATTGGCCTTGATGAGAACCAATATGTTGATCCCCAAAACCACACCTTACTGAGGGATTTTCTGAGGGAACCGGAACATAATTTATGTCTCCTTTGTTGCCTTGAGGACTAGTAGATGTTGACCAATGAAGCTGTGGTCTCATATCAGCCTCTGGAAACCACCAAACTCAGCCTTAGGATTAAATAAGTGGAGTAGCTGGTCATAGAGATTTGAGAATCAACAGGTGTAAATGGTGCTGGTCCATGGATCTTTGGCTCCTAGAAAGTACAGGTGAGAAAAAAAGACCCAAAGACAGAACTCTGCTGGCCTGTAGCATTTTAAAAGCTGGGTAAAAAGGAGAATCCACCTAGAAAATAATTGGCGGAGAGGCACTTGGAAATTCTCATAGAGCAAAGGAGGAGACTGCCAGTATATATTCCACAGAGGGGCTGGGCAAGCGAAGAGCACATTGAGGTCTTCAGGATGTGTTTTGTCCTTGTTTCCCATCCCATTGCTCTCCGAAGGAGCATTTAGGAAGCAAGATAAAGGACATCATTGCAAGAGGGAGGTTCTTATGTGTGAAAGGAGGGATTCAGGCAGTGCTACCACTTCCCAGGAACCAGCTGAGATGAGACTTGGAGAGGAAGAAGACACAACTGGGCTGCTTTCTCAGATGACGGGAGGCTAGTGGGCCCAGAACACTTAGCAGCCAGGAAATTGTGGTTGGTTCCATAGTAGAGAGGTTATCTGGGGGGAGGAAAGGAGTAGTAAAAGAGGCTACTGGACACTGTCTTTCTCTCTCTACCTTAGGAGAGGGCTAACTTGGTTTTTTTGGTTTTGTGGTCGGTCGTAGGGCTTGAACTCTGGGCTTGGGTGCTTTCCCTGCGCTCTTCAGCTTAAGGTAAGTGTTGTAATGCTTGAGCCACAGCACCACTTCCAGTTTTCTAGTGGTTTATTCGAGATAAGAGTCTCAAGGACTTTCCTGCCCTGGCTGGCTTTGAACTGTGATCCTCAGATCTCAGTCTCGTGAGTAGCTAGGATTACAGGCGTAAGCCACCAGCACCCGGCAGCTAACTTGTTTTGAGAGCTCAGTCTTTCCTGTTCCGCAGACCATCCTGCACAAGCACCCCTCTAACAGTTCTGGACACAATATTCCAACTCAATGAAGTAGAAGAGTCCTCGCTAAGAATAATAGGCTATTCTCAAGAAGGACATTTTCAGCCAGGGGCCAGTGGCTCATGCCTTTAATTCTAGCTACACAGGAGGCTGAGATCTGAGGATCATGGTTCAAAGCCACCCTGGGCAAGAAAGTCCATGAGACTCTTATCTCCAGTAAACCACTAGAAAACAGGAAGTGGTGCTGTGGTAGAGCACTTGCCTTGAGCTGACAGTGCCCAAGCTCAGAGTTCAAGCCCCACGACCGACGGACCAGAAAAAAAAAAAAAAGACATTTTCTAAGGCTGGAGGCCAAAGTTGCTGTTGAAAGCTCAGGCTCTGGCTGCAGACAGGTCCTGACTCTGTCACTTTAGTCTCATTTGTAAAATGACACAATACCTGCTAGCACTATTTTGAAGGTTAGTGAGATAGCACGTGTAGATATGTTTTGTTTTTATTTTTATTTATTTGGAGGGCAGTCCAGTCGTGGGGCTTGAACTCTGGGCCTGGGTGCTGTCCCTCAGCTCTTCAGCTCAAGGCTAGCACTCTACCACTTGAGCCACAGCGCCACTTCTGGCTTTTTTCTTTTTGCTTATGGGGTGCTGAGGAATAAAACCCAGGGCGTCATGCATGCAAGGCAAGCGCTCTACCACTGAGCCACCTTCCCAGCCCAACTCTTGTTCTTGTTATCCACAGAAAATCCTTAGAATTTGAGGACGCATCCAGTCTCCAGTCCCTGTATCCCTCTTCTCCCACTGAAAATGGTACTGAGAGCCAACCCAAGTTTGGATCCAAAAGCACTTTAGAAGAGAATGCCTATGAAGATATTGTGGGTAAGCAGGTGGATGGCAGGCTGGTTCACCTCCAGGGGCTGCAGGAACCAGTCACCTTGTGCTGTGGGCTCTCATGTTCCTACCATGGGGAACTCTGGGAAATAGATATCAGAGGAAGAAACACTTCAGCAAACAGAGCAGCTGAGTGACTAAAGCCTAGCTTTTGAGTAAACTGAAACTCAAAGGCCTTTGGGCTCCCACAAAGGGGAAAACTACATCTTTCTTTTCTTTTGATTTTGGAAAACTTGAGGGCCTACTAGGCACTCTTCCCGAGCTATGTGTCCGTAAGCAAATCATTTAACTTGTGATAGCTGTTTAAAATGTAATGACATGAACAGCAACAGGGATAGTAATAATCTTCATTAGGTTATTGGTGGGATTAAAGGAGTAGGGACTGATTGATTCAGTGTTTGATGAAACCTATTTCTTGGTTCAAAAACACCAGTCATCTCCCAGTGTCCTCTCATGGCTGAAGTGGCAAGAGGATTCTCTAGGATTTATAAGGATTGTGAGGGTTCTTCACCTAATTACCTGCTAAAGATGCTTTCCAATGCTAACACAGTGGGGATTAGGTTGCATTAGAGGTATTTTGAGGGGATAAAGACATTCAGTCTATAGTACAAGCTAGCCAGACTTCCACATCACAGACAAAGCACTTTATTAGATCATGGCACAGCAAACAGCATGAGTTCCATGTTCTCATAGGTACCCCTGTCTCACAAGCCCCAAGTAGAAGCTTGTGTACCTTGTGGGGGTGCCAAAGTATAGGAGAACCCATTCTTTTCAGGAGCTGCTGATAAACCTGCCCAATCTGTTCTACAAAGAGATGTTATCATTTCTGAGGAAGAAACAAAAGTGCCCCTGCCCAGGAGGGAGACGCTATCTTTGTCTTCCAAGACTGCTATATAAACATCCTTGAAAATACAGTCTGGAACTGTTCATTCCTCTTGAGGCTCCAAAGAAGAGAAAAATGCAGTACTCCTTAGAGAGCTGTCTTTTAAGAAGGGGAAAGCTTTATTTCAAGTATCAGCAATGACAAATGGATAGTCAAGTCTGGGTAGGGTTTATTTGTGGCATTTTTTGTTGTTCTTGTTTTTGTTGTTTGAGATAGGATCTTATGATGTAGCCCAAGCTGGGTGCCAACTGCTTCCTCAGCCTCCTAAGTGGTAGGATTATAGGCATGTGCCACCATGCCTGGTTATATTTGGCATTCACTTTATTAGTCTTATCTTCAACAGAATGATTTGAGTCTGCTGAATGAAGTTGTGTCTCCACATGGTTAATGAAGGGGCGGGTCATATGATTACTTGTTCCTTGTCTGAGTAACTTGTTCCTTGTCTGAGTAGCTAGTATCTGTCCTGTCTCTGTCTTAGGCCTTGAAGCTGGAGAAAATAGTCTTAGTTAACACTTTAAAGAGAAGTAGTCCCAGTAGAGGAAACCTTTCAGATTCTCAGAATATGGAGGTCTTATGAAGAGGGTGGGAGTGGGGGTTTCCTGTAGTTACTTATCTGAGCTGAGCCATCACTTCATAGTGTTCTCCTTACAGCTTGCTGGGCTGCATTTCTAAGGAGACAACAGCCACATTCAGACCCACAGGCAGATTACATTCCCAGGAATGGAGCCTACAGAATGGAGCCATGCAAATGGGATGATAGCTGGAAGAGTGTAGGAAGGGGAGGCCTTTTCATCCCTGTCCTGGGGGAAAATGACAGCTTTATTCCCACCCTCACCTGGAGCTGAGGCAGAGCTGTGAGGATCAGAGCCAAAGACCCAGAAGCTAGATGAGCAGTTATAGAAAGAGCCTCAACCGGGCTGGGAAGGTGGCTCAGTGGTAGAGCGCTTGCCTTGCATGCATGAGGCCCTGGGTTCGATTCTTCAGCACCACATAAGCAAAAAGAAAAAAAGCCAGAAGTGGTGCTGTGGCTCAAGTGGTAGAGCACTAGCCTTGAGCTGAAGAGCTGAGGGACAGCACCCAGGCCCAGAGTTCAGGCCCCACAACCGGACCCCCCCCCCCAAAAAAAGAAAGAGCCTCAATCTCACTATCTTATGCATCCCTCACCCCTAGCTGTAGGTCCTCTGTCCAAGGAGCATCCAAGTTGCCCTACATTTTCTTGCTTCCTCAGGGAAGAAAATCACTGCATAGTGTGAGGAGGAAGCTCTCTTGTTCCATCCTCATCACATGTTCCTCCTCCTGTCACAGAAGAAAATACCTTAATTTTCTCTAGTTTGATATTATGAATCATAGTGCAGTGATATCATTGCTGTCCTTGGTAGCACTAAGCTGGCTGTCATTGGCAGAGAGAGACACTATTTCTCAATATCCTAGCATACCAGGCCCAGGTAGTACTGTGGTACTCACTCTGTTCCCTAGCATATCTGCTGCCCAAGGATTTCAGATGGGGATATGTTCTTGCAGCAACTGAATTGAATAACAGGAAGGGATGGATGGTTCCAGCTATTCCACCCTGTCCAGAGTTCATGATCCAGGGTTCTGTGGAGGGATATTTGGAGGCAGAGTAGAGGGGAAAGAAATTTTGGAAGTAGTGTCTTAGGTAGCAGAGGTTTTTTTCCTGGGCCTTCTTAAGTCAGGTTAGAATGAAGAAGAGACTAGTCTGCTTGGGCCTCTGTCACTCCCTCATTACAAAGATTCCCCCTTCCCCCTTTGGAATGTTATATGAAGAGGCAAGAAAACAGAGGACCAGCTTAATTGCTTCTTGGGTAGATAAGATAGAATTATAAGTAAGGACTGTATCGGGGGAAAGATGGGCATCTTCTTTACTTGCTCACCTGGACCCTCAAAGCCTTTGTGTAGAGAATAAGAGGATGAAAAGGAGGGGAGGGTATAGGCAAGAGAGCAGGGAGTTTTTTATTTTGGAGGGGGGGCGGTGTTTGGGTTTTGCAAGTGGAGTACAGGTGGATTGGAGGGTCTGTAGGTAGGACAGGACAGTGTCCTGGATGCTTTCTTACCTTTTAAAATTTTTTTTTGCTTATTTTTTTTATTATAAAGGTGATGTACCAAGGGGTTACAGTTACATAAGTCAGTTAATGAGTACTTTTTTTTTCTTTACTCCTCCTCTCTCAATTGTTTTCTTACCCTTTATTCCCCACAGTGGCCTAGGCTAAATTTCTAGAACCTGGCTAGGGAGGCTAGAGGGAAATATTCTCTTTCTGTTAGATTCTGGTTGGTTTATCTTTTTTTCACTCCTTGGAGAGTTGTTCAAGAACTGGCTGGGTGCCGGTGGCTCACGCCTATAATCCTAGCTACTGAGGAGGCTGAGATCTGAGGATCACTGTTCAAAGCCAGCCCGGGCAGGAAAATCCATGAGACCTTTATCTCCAATAAACCACTAGAACACCAGAAGTGGTGCTGTGGCTCAAGTGGTAGAGTGCTTGCCTTGAGCTGAAGAGTGCAGACCTGGTGCCCAGAGTTCAAGCCCTATAACCAAACAAACAAACAAAAAAAAGAACTTATACTCTCCCCCTCCCTCTATACACACACCTATAGGCTTCAGAACGTCTCTTGTTGCTGAACTCTGAAGGTTGGGTTTCATTCTTAGTCTTGATTCATCATTAACCAATGAATGGCTCAGACTTCTTGAGCTCCCTTTTGGTCTTTCCCAGCCTCTTTGTCATTGGATTAAAGTTGTTTCTGGTTCTGGCTGGATTCTTCAGCTCAGTGCTGCCTCCTGTCCACAGAGACAAAGGGAGCTTTGTATCAGGCTTGTGATAACGGGACTGCGGGGAGGCAGACACCACCTGAATTTCCTGCTTGGGTACAGCCTGTTGGACTGGAGATCTGCTCTGTTAGAGATTGAGGGTCAGTTGGCCTAGAGACCAGTATGTCTTCTTTGTGAGCATAGACTCAACAAAGGGCCTCAGGGAGTTCACTGGCCTCTGGCCCATACCAGGCATAGTGTCCAGGGAAGCAGAGTGTAATACTTTGGATGGGCTGAGTTTTTGTCTGCTAATTTGCAAGAGAAGGGTTAATAAGAAACTTACTGCTTTGCTGCTTCCTAGGGCTGTTAATTCTTGCTGCATTTTAATTTGACATCTGACCTTGGAAGATGCTGCTATTCTATAAACCCTTGTAATCATTTGCATTCTGAGCCTGACACAAAAATACACCCAAGGAAAGAAACAGCTTGTTAGGGAGTTAGTGGAGTGGCCTGGGCGCACAACCAAGGAGCTGGAGCTACATTCCTGCTGAGATTCCCACTCCCATCAGCTAGCTGGGCTGAGGGACAGCTTCCAGGAACTTCATTGGGGACACAAGCTGGGGACAGGGCCATTCGGCCAGCTGATATTGTGCAAAAGCTTTTGGCTCCATTCACTCTGCCTTCTTTCATTTACCCCAAGGCTGGGCACCAGTAAGGAAAGGATAAAGGTTACAGCAGGAAGCAAAACAACTAAGAGGTGTATCTCAGGGAAAGGTGCCAATGCTGCTGGGAAAAGGTGTCAAAAACCTGGAGAGTGGGTAACAGCTGCTCTATGGGGAATCAGTCTCCTAACCTGGCCCTTTCTCTGCCGTAAGAGCGGGATGGGCGTGGAACAAACAGCCAATTGGAACAAGGAAAGGAAATCTTCAGATCCCTAGGCTTGAGCCATGGGTGTGGCTCGGGGAACTTGGACTGTATATGGGGAAATTCTCTGGGCCTGTACAGCAATACACTTCTTTTACTTCTTTTAACTGGTTCTTCTGGTTGTGGGGGGGGGATGAGGAGAGGGGTGTGTGGCAGTTTATGTATGATGAACTACCTTAAGAGCTGTGTGGAGGGTTTGGGACAGTGCCTAGGGAGGGCTTATTCTCTCAGGAGGGTCAATGTGATAATTTAGGGTTCTGACAAGCCCCTTTTCGAATAGTGTAAAGCAGAAATTCTTGGTGATGTCTTTGATCCTTATCAGCCTAGCTAGGAAAGGTTGAGACTTATAGCTGAATATAATGAGATGAGACTAAGCTTGCTATGCTGGGGCTGTTCAGGACCAGACCTCCTGAGAAGTATTGAAGGAAGTCCTTCTCCAAGCTCAGTGTGGATGGTTCTGGTCCTGCCTCTTATCCAGGCCTGCTCAATTCTCACATCCACTGTGCTCTAGCTTTCCTAGTAGTCCTGTAGCTTGGTTTCTGTGTAGGACATTCTGAGTACCATTTCCCATTCTTTGATTTGGTGTTCACCTGCAACAAATTTGGTTTCGTGGTTCAAGGACGCAGAGACTTTGTGTGTGTGTGTGTGTGTGTGTGTGTATGTATGTGTGTGTGTGCGTGCGCATGTGTGTGTGTGCGCGTGTGCGTGCAGGTCTTGGGGCTTGAATTCAGCGCCTAGATGCTATCTGTTAGCTTCCCCTCCTCCCCCCCCCCCCCCCCCCCAGGGCTAGTGCTCTACCACTTGAGCTACAACTCTACTTCCACCTTTTTTTTTTCTTAGTAGTTTATTGGAAATAAGTGTCTCACTGACCTTCCTGTCTGGGCTGCTTCAAACCATGATCCTCAGACCTCAACCTGCTGAGTAGCTAGGATTACAGGTGTGAGCCACTGGTGCCCAGCTCTCAGGAGCTTCTTGAGGTTTTTTTGCACATCTTCAGCCCCTAGCCACCCTTCTGCCTGTAGAGATGACTAGGAAATGTCTGAGACACTTCCAGAGGAACGAGTCTGCCAAATAGGGGATAGCAGGTGGACTGTGGCTATGAAGAGATTAAACTAGGCTGAGGAGGCAGGGTTTAGGCTGTACTTAACAAAGAATTTCCTGAAGAAATGATTAGTGGATGGGTTACATCAGAGAATGAAGAGGCTGGCACTGGGACTGGGAAAGAAGAGTGGGAATTGAAGCCATCTGCAGTCTGGTTTTCAGTAGCAGTATGGAGAACCGTGACTTCTCCCTACTGTCACTGAGGTGTATTAACATTGTATACCAATTACTTCTTTGGACTTCTTTGGACTACATCTTCTTCTTGGAGTTTTAGGTTTTATATCACTATTCAAAGTTCTGATTCTGAAGGAAAAAGGAAGGGGAGAAAATGAGAGAGAAGAGAGCAGGAGGGAAGGTTGGAAAACAAGAGGATTAGACATGAGGACTCCTGGCATGGCATTCAGAAGCAATTAGGAAGGTTTGAAATACCTGTCTAAAGCAGTGGTTCTCAGGGGGCCCTTCCTTCCCTCCCTCCCTTCCTTCGCTTCCTTCCTTCCTTCCTTCCTTCCTTCCTTCCTTCCTTCCTTCCTTCCTTCCTTCCTTCCTTCCTTCCTTCCTTCCTTCCTTCTCCTTCTCCTTCTTCCTTCCTCTTCTTTTTTCCTCCAATGCCTTTCCTCCCCCTCTTCTTGCCTCCTTTCCTCTCTTTCCCTTTTTCTTCCCTTCCCAAGGGGCATTTGGCAAGGTCTGAAGATATTTTTTTACAAGTGAGGAACTAGTGGGTAGAGGCCAGGATTGTCACTAAACACTCTACAAATATGCAGGTCAGTTCATCAACCCAAAATATTAACAGCTTGATGAAATCCTGATAAAAAATTCTCCTATAGGTTGGAGATGATGATAAGGAGTCTAGCTGCCCACCTAACTGCTAAGGAAGTTTGGATTGGATGAGCTAGGATGTAATGTTCTCCCTGCCCCATCTGGGCAGTGATAATGTCCAGTTTTATAGGATCAGAAAGCATGTATCCTGGTATTCTTCCATTCTTAATCCCCTTTACCACCTCACCCCTGCAGTGTATACATTGGGGAGGAACCAAGAAGTAGAAAATCTACCCTACCTCCTCCCAAAGTGGGGTGGGCTGGAAAAACATGCAGAAGATGCTGGCTTTAATATTTGGCTTCTTGAGGTAAAACTGCTAGGCCAGCTCTGCTTAGTCAGGGCCCTGGAATGGAGACAGCTCATTTTAATGGCATGACTGTGTTATAGGAAAAGGTCTGCTCCTTTGCTGGGGACTGTGTGGTGTTGGGAATCACTTAATCCAGTCCTAAATCTTTTCTTGACCATGACTCATAGTTTACAGAGATTTGTATTGTTCCCACTGCAGTCTATTCAGCAGTAACTGAAATCCTCCAATAACTTCCCTCACCTCTGTAAAGGCATTTCCTAAGTTCATTTTGGTTTCTCAAGAGCAATAAATAGTTGCCATAATCTGGGGGAAACTCAGCTTTCTGAGGAATCTCTTGCACAGAGTTTGGTTTTGCTCCTGTGCCCTGTCTAGGAGCATTTGCAGTCCTAGCAGCCTTGGTTCTCTGTTCAGCTGTGCTTCTGCCTGCTCTGCAGAATGGGGTCTGAGTTGCTCTGGGTGTAAGGTACATGCAAGCTTCTGTAGTATAGTCAGGGAGCTTAGCATTCACCATTTCGTCAGATGACAAAGTCTTATTCTTGTCAGTAGTACTTAAGTCTCTGGTCTCATACAATGCTATTGGAGTTAGAGAAGGAAAAGAAAAGGGGGCTGGGAAGGTGGCTCAGTGGTTGAGCGCTTGCCTTGCATGCCTGAGGCCCTGGGTTCGATTCCTCAGCATCACATAAGCAAAAAGAAAAAAGCCAGAAGTGGCGCTGTGGCTCAAGTGGTAGAGCGCTAGCCTTGAGCTGAAGAGCTGAGGGACAGTGCCCAGGCCCAGAGTTTAGGCCCCACAACTGGACCCCCAAAAAAAAAAGAAAGAAAGAAAGAAAGGAAAAGAAAAGATCTTGCTGCTGAGATTAAGCTGGGACTGACATGGCTCATGATATTACTGTACTCTAGAAATATCTAGTGCTTGCTGGAGGGCATAGCTGTAAGAAAGCGTGTCTGCAAGTTTTATGCTCTTCAAAGACAAGGACTATGTTTTGAACTTTTCTGAGATGTTTTTTCTGGTGAGATTTTAAAAATGGATCCCTAGAAGTAAGCACTCTCCCACCCCTACAGTCTGGCCCAGATTCCTCCCAAGCCTTTTACACTTCCCTTTGTCACTGCAGGAGGGTTTGTGCCAAAGGGGAGGGGTGATAGTTGTCTTTTAGCTGAGGTCAGCAGTATAGGAAATAGCAGTACACTACAGTACAGAAATCTATTGAATGAGCCATTACTGAGTCCTTACCCATTTGCTTATCACTGTTCTGGTTCTGAGCTTGCCTCAGACAAGATCCCTGTTCTATAAGACTTGTTGATTATGTAACAGGTGAGAGGGAGATCTGGCAAAGCCCTATCCCCTAAAGTCTTTGGAGTTTCTCCATGCGTTACCTCTGAAACTCAGTCCCAGAGACCCACTGATATTTGCTTAAAGAGACAGCTATGTGACCCATAAAAGCCTAGTAGTATATATCTCTGGGGGAACTTAACCAGCAGAGGGGAACTGGAGCCAGCAACAGACTCCTAGGGTTGGCTTCATCCTCTGGCTGGGCACAGGCAGGGGTAGCTGAGCTCCTCTTGTGCAATCCCTGAATTTATAAAGCAGAGGCCAGACAAGGCTGAGCTGAACTGAACTGGAGATGGGGATTGGGGGTGGTGGCGGGGGGAAGGGTGTCAGCTTCTAGACTTGGAGCCAGGATCTGTTTGTAGCCTCCCCTCTGCAGATGGGCAGCTGCATGACTCATGAACTGAAGGGGCCAGGCTGAAGCCATTCTCCTTGGTTCACAGGAATTCTGCTTGTGTGTGTGTGTGTGTGTGCGTGTGTGTGTGTGTGTGTGTGTGTGTTTTCATCTTTCCTTCTCTCCCTTCTCAAACTTTTCTTCTTTGCAGGAGAGCTGCCCAAGGAGAATCCATATGAGGATGTGGACTTGAAGAACCGAAGAGCTGGACGAAAATCCCAGCAACTGTCTGAGAACTCCTTAGACTCTTTGCATAGGATGTGGAGTCCTCAAGACAGGAAGTACAACAACCCACCCATGCAGGTAATGCAGTCCTGATGTGGGCCAGCAGGAGGGCCACAGTGGGGGTCTGTGCTCTCAGTGTGTGGGCCCAGTTCTCACTTAGGCTTTCTTCTTCCTTAGTCAAAAGAGGTTGTCAGGAAAGAGTTCTGTACTCAGGAACTTCCACCATGTTGAATCCTCTGTGGGCAATTGGGATGTGCTGCCTTCTTTCTCTTACAGCCTGAGCTCTGAGCTGCAAAAAATATAAACCAGGAGTCCCTGAAGTCCCTCCCTGTCAGTATTCTTCCTGTCCTCCATGGGAAATGAAAAGACAGGACCCTAGTTATTCAATTCTTTTCAGAAATTGTCTCAGTATTAGCATTTGGTGGCCAGCAGTAGGTCACAAACCAGATTTGGGAAGCCTGCTGTATCTGAAGCCACTCCTATTAGATGAGTAAGAATAAGTCTCTGAAGAATGGACTGAAGAAGTTAGAATGAAAGGAAAGGTGAGAGGTCAGAGGAATCTCTTAGACATAAGTTCATTCTGTTCTTATCCAGGAAGCAGGAAAAGCTAAGAAGGTACCGGAGCAAGCCCTTTTGACCTACCAGGTAACCCTTAATTCTGCAAATGGAGGGACTTGGATATTTTATAGCATTAACCAGAGAATATATAAATGATTTTTTTTCTGACTTTGGAGTCCTTTCTAAAGTACTGTGTTTAAACAAGTTTTCATTGAATTTGTTTGGCCAAACTGATTGGGTAGGGAGAAGAAACTGAGGGTTATGGAGAGGAGGATTTGCTGATGAATGAGGAGAGAGAAATCCGACCCCCGTGTGAGGGGGATGAGGGGGCACCTGCCTTCCTAGCAGTGTGTGGGAATCCATTTTAAGGCACCGTGGATTGAAAGGCATCAATCTAGATGGAAGGCATCACTCTGTAGGGAGAGAGGGACAAGGAAGTTGATGAGGGCTAGGAAGAGAGAGGGGCAGCCCAGGGCCTTGTGGAGAAAGATCCAATTGAATATTCCTTGCCCATGATTGGTGGCCAGAGCCCAGAGCCCTTGTGTTTTCCCTGGAGAAAGTGAGTATGGCGGGGCTGGGAAGGTGGCTCAGTGGTAGAGCCCTTGCCTTGCATGGATGAGGCCCTGGGTTTGATTCCTCAGCACCATATAAGCAAAAAGAAAAAAGCCGGAAGTGGCGCTGTGGCTCAAGTGGTAGAGCGCTAGCCTTGAGCTGAAGAGCTGAGGGACAGCACCCAAGCCCAGAGTTCAGGCCCCACGACCGGACCCCCTCCCCCAAAAAGAAAGTGAGTATGGCCCAGCTGCTATGATTGTACAAAAGAGCACATAGGTTATTGCTTTTTCTAGCCCAAGTCTTCTAAGTCTGGTTAGTGGGGAGGTAGGGAAGTCTGGCTCCATCAAGCAGGCTCAGTAATCCTTACCCAAAGTTCAGGAGCTACCTGAAGAGTTCCTCTTTGTCTTCTCTTTCTATTCTTTGCTTCTGCCTCTGCCTTTGCCTCTGTGTGTGTGTGCGCGTGTGTGCGTGTGCGCACACGCACGCATGCACATGCCAGTACTGGTACTTGAATCCAGGGCTTGTGCTCTGTCCCTTAGCTTTTTCAGTCAGGGCTAGCATTCTTCCACTTGACCACAGCCCTCTCCCTCCCCCTGGGTTTTGCTGGTTAATGGGAGATAAGAGGCTTATAGACTTTCTTGTTTCAGCTGGCTTCAAACCGTGATCCACAGATCTCAGTCTCCTGAGTAGCTAGGATTACAGGCCTGAGCCACCATTGCCTGGTTGCTTTCTTTTTCTGAAAGAAGTAGTGAAGCTTCATTTTTTAGGGAAGCAAATATCTACTCTATCCTAGGTCTTTCTAATTAGTAGTTAAAGTCTTAAAAAAGAAGCCCAGGTCAAGAGAAATTCAGCTTGAGGCTGGGGAAAGCTGGGGATGGCAGCTTGTAGCTTTCTTTTCCAAATCTCATCAGAGAGCTACTGGCCACAGCATTTCTGGTGAGTCCCTCTCTCATATCTTCTCCCCAATTCCAGCTGTCCCTGAAACCCAGCAGCCAGTCCATGCGCAGTGGGAACTGGCCAGAGAGGAAGAGCCACCGGCTTCCACGATTACCCAAAAGACACAGCCATGATGACATGCTGCTGCTGGCTCAGCTGAGCTTGCCATCTTCACCTTCCAGCCTCAATGAGGACAGCCTCAGCACCACAAGTGAGCTGCTGTCCAGCCGCCGGGCCCGTCGCATCCCCAAGGTATCCTTCGCACAGATTTTAGGAGCTAGGACAGTTGGCTTGGCAGGCAGCTAGCTGTTTCCCGGCAACCAGCTGTCCCTCCGTCTCTCCCTTCTTCCCTATTTTCCTTCCTACCTTCCTTCCTACCTTCCTTCCTTCCTTCCTCCCTCCCTCCCTCCTTCCCTCCCTCCCTCCCTCCCTCCCTCCCTCTCTTCCTCCCTCCTTCCCTCCCTTCTTAATTCCCTTTGAATAGGTTCTGGGTAACATACTGTCCTCCTTTTTATCTGGTTATTTCCCTTTTCTTACCAATAAGGATGTATTGACTGCTTTTGGGGGCTCACGGAGGATGAACAGGTCAGCTAAGACACTCCATGAGTATATGTGGTATGTGAATTTGGGAGTCTGGGCACACATAAATATTTCTAGGCTCTCAGGGATCTAAGGATTCACATACAGATCTTCTTTGTATCTCTGGTAATTGAGGAATTTCCTACAGTGATTTACATACGTGGGCTTTGGCCATCAAGCCCACGGCCCCAGCCCAAAACAGCAGGATTTAGCCAGAAAGTATTTTTAGCTTACAAACAATGCTTGGGTATATTGGGAATTTAGCTTCTTCCTGTCAAGGCCCCAGGTTATGGCCCAGAGGGGAAAGGCTAGAATCCTTGTTCCTGTTTTTACATCAGAGAAGCTCTTTGTGTGAGGTTCAATGACTCTCAGGACCCAGGAGTTCCCATCCTGTGGAGGCTGATCACAGTTCCTTCCTCTGGGGATCTAAGTTTAGTGTCCTTGTCCTGAGGCAGGAGACCCGCTCCTTGGAGATAAGGTGAGAGAAGAACTAGCTGGCATAGCTGGTGAGTCTCCATTTGAAAGGAGAACCCATGTTGTGTCTAGCTTGCAGAGTGCAGAAAGTCTTCCCCAATTAAAGAGTAGGCTCTTAATATGTCCTCTTGGAAACAGGGGCAGCTGGGGTTAGGGTTACCTCACCCTTCCTGCTTTTCTCGCCCAGCTTGTCCAAAGAATTAACTCCATCTACAATGCCAAGAGGGGAAAGAAGAGGTTAAAAAAGCTGTCTATGTCCAGCTTTGAGACAGCGTCGTTGAGAGGTAGGCCTAACACTTGAGCTGGTTCAGCTTTTGGGGGACTTTGGGCATTAGGGATGGAGAAGAGCATGCACTTACCTCACTTTGTCTTCCATGGTCTGATCATGGGGTGCTTCTACTTTCTAGGATGGTAGAACCCTGCCAAGAAATGGCCACATAGAAGGGAGAGCCAAGGAGAGAAGTCAACCCTGGAATGGGTTGACTTCAGGGTTTAGGCTATGAGGCCCTGAGTTGGGAGGCTGGTGTGGGAATCTGTTTCTGGCAAAAGGAAAGGCCTGACTTACTGAGCGTTGAGGTCTGTTTTCCATTTCACATCTTGGCCTGCTTGAAGCAGGGTGTGCTTTGTTCCAGGCCTCTAGGCCTCTCTGCTGGCTCAGCCTCTGACCCACACTCTCTCAGCTACTCTAGATTATATCTGGTTTAGGACCTGTATGTAGATCAGTACCTGAGATCTCGATTCTGAGAGATCCTAGTACCAACCCCCTTACCTCCTACCTACAGATCTATGCCCAGGGTAGCCCAGATCTATCCCTTGTGAGAAAAGTTGGGAGGTAGGTACTGCAAACATTTGCTGTGGGGCAGGAGCTTAGCAAGCATTCACTCATGTGTTACTTTTCCAGATGAGAACAGTGAGAGTGAGAGTGACTCTGATGACAGGTTCAAAGGTAAGACCTGGCACCCCTTCCCAGCCTTGGCTATGGGGAACCAGCCCTCCCTTCTACTGCATGTGTGCTCCCGGGGTCACATGCTCACCTGGATGGAGTGGCCACCAGAGCAGGGAGCTGCAGAGAAGTCTGTAATTCTTGAGAACTCAGTCCTGAGTTCTTACAGCTCAGTGTTTAACATTTCACATTGCATGGTAAATCCAAACATTGGTCATCCTTTGCTAGTGACCCTCCCCATACTTTGTCAAGCTACTGTCCATGGGAATTAGTACTAGATCTGCTGATAAAAGTTTCAGAGAGGGCTGGGAAGGTGGCCCAGTGCTAGAGTGCTCGCCTTGCATGCATGAGGCCCTGGGTTCGATTCCTTAGCACCACATAAACAGAAAAAGCTGGAAGTGGCACTGTGGCTCAAATAGAGCGCTAGCCTTGAGCTGAAGAGTGCAGGGACAGTGCCCAGGCTCAGAGTTCAAGCCCTACAACTGACAAAAAAAAAAGTTTCAGAGAAGCTGGCTGCCAGGGGCTCATGCCTCTAATCTCAGCTATGCTAGGAGATCTGAGATCTGAGGATTAAGGTTCCTAGCCAGCCCACGCAAGAAAGTCCACGTGAGTCTTATCTCCAGTTAGGCTGGGAGTGAAGCTGTGGCTCAAGTGATAGAATGCTAGCCTTGAGCAAAATGAGCACAAGGATAGCACCCAGGCTGAGTACAAACCCCAGGCTTGGGGGGAAAAAAGTTTCAGAGAGGAGTTCAGATTACAAGTACCTCCTTCATATGTAAGAATTGTGCCATAAACTGAGGAAACTAGCGCTTTAGAGAACCAGAGGCTACCTGTCTTCGCTTTATTCACTGAAAGGTTCTGGAATCTTCATATCAGGAGCTGTTGACTAGTCTCTGTGCTCTGCTACTGGGAAATCTAGCCTAGACCTTCCTAGATTATTACAGTATATTGGAGCTTGCCTCTCTTCCCCACTTCCACTGGTTCCTAAGCAAATTGGCATGTGAACTTTGGACTTAGAGACAGGAACAAAGGGCCCACATACAAGGAATCTGATTTGGAGCCCAAGGATGAAGCCTTTGTGAGTGTTCATACCTTGTGATTCAGAGGTTCCATGTCTGCAGGGGCAACAGGATGGTGCTAGTGCTATGTCTTGCCTGGCATTGGCAGTTCTGCTGGCTCTAGCTCAACTTTCAGAGGCTCCAGGAAAACCAACCTAGTAGCTCCCTGTGTTAGGATAGAGACTTTTGTTTGGTCATAGACAACCATAAGCAAACTACTTCTCCCCCAGACTTAACTAGAATAGAGTCAAATGGGTTTATGTGTTTCAAGATGATTCAGAGAGATTGTTGAATGGAATGGCGGTGGAGGGGAAATGGAAGGTGTGTGAGGGGCCAGCCTGCTTGTCCCCTCCCTCATGTGAGACCTGCCCCCAGCCCACACACAGCGCCTGGTCCATATCCAGTCCATGCTGAAACGTGCACCCAGTTACCGGACCCTGGAGCTGGAGCTGCTTGAGTGGCAAGAACGGGAACTCTTTGAGTACTTTGTGGTGGTGTCCCTTAAGAAGAAGCCATCCCGAAACACCTACCTCCCTGAAGTCTCCTACCAGTTTCCCAAGGTGACCGCCCCCTCCCCCAAACTTGCCTCACTTCCCCCTCCTCTCTGCCTGGCCCCTTTGGGAAGAAGGTTCTCTTTCTAGCTTCTCATCAGGTGTTTGGGGGGCCTCGTGCTTATTTAGGAGGATGAAAGCTGAGAGTACTTCTCAGAGTTAAGCATAAAATGCATATTGTTCAGCAGGAGTGAAAGGTTTTGAGAAACTTCCACAACTTCTCCCTTCCTCTCCCTTCTTTCCTCCTGCCCTCCACGTCTCTTCCTTAGCCACTTTATTGAGATACATCTCACTCATTCAATTTACAGTTTATACATCATACAGTTTGCAATTCAGAATTCTTTCATGTATTTGCAGAACCATGCAATCATCACCACAATCAACTTGAGAGCATTTTATTACCCATAAAGAAACCTGGATGCCTGGCACCATTGGCTTACGCCTGTAATCCTAGCTACTCAGGAGGCTGAGATCTGAGGATCACGGTTCAAAGCCAGCCCAGGCAGGAGATTGTGAAACTCTTATCTCTCCAATAATCCACTAGAAAACTGGAAGTGGCGCGGTGGCTCAAGCAGTAGAGCATTTGCCTTGAGCTGAAGAGCGCAGGGACAGAGTCCAAGCCCAGAGTTCAAACCCCACAACTGACGGAAAAAAAAAAAAGCTGGTGTCTGTCCTCTGTTAGTCACTACCACCACCCCTACTTTATCTCTTCCACTTCTCTGTTTCTTGCCAGTCAGCTTGGCCTCCTTTCTTAAAACATTTATACCCTTTTACTTTGCCTTGCTTCCTTGGAATTTCCTTTCTCGGCGTCTTCTGCCCACTCTTTCTCAGTTTTCAATCTGGCCCAGTGGCATCTGTTTCTGGGGTCTTTCTAGATGCCTGGATGTAGCCCCTCCTGTACAGTCCTCTCTTGCATATCTTTTTTTCTTCCTTTTTGGCATCCTCTGATATGTTGTGTTTTCTCATTCTTCTAACCAGAACGTACAGATCCGGCCCTTGTCCACATTTGCACTTGTAGCTCAGAACACAGCACACAGTCAGATGCCATATGCAAGGTACTCAGCACTTAGCAAATGAATGAATAAGTAACTGATGTTTCAGCCTCACACTTGGACCTCTGTAAGAATTAGGGATGGGACAAGGTTTCTGAGAAGCATGAAGTTGGTGGGATGGCATTTAGGACTCTTGGGGGAGGAGATGCTTCTCAGCCATTCCCACCCCTACCCTGAGGTGCCTTACCATTTCTTGGTTATCTCTGTCCTCTTCCCTGCAGCTCGACAGACCCACCAAACAAATGCGGGAGGCAGAAGAAAGGCTCAAAGCTATCCCCCAGTTTTGTTTCCCAGATGCTAAGGACTGGCTCCCTGTGTCAGAGTATAGCAGGTGAGGCCTGGCCTGGTCTAGTTGGAGGGAGGAAGGGGATATAATATCCCCAAGATCAGCAGACTGAGTGAGTTTGCCCTGGCTCAAACCTGCTTTCCTACAGTAATCCAACTCGTCATTCTGCCCCTGGGATGAGAGTCCCTGTTCTTGGGGACTGTCGCTGGGGTCCTCTGCTAACTTCCTTGATGCCAGACCTCTCCCTCTTCCTGGTTCTAGTGAGACCTTTTCTTTCATGCTGACTGGGGAAGATGGCAGCAGACGCTTTGGCTACTGCAGGCGCTTACTGGTAAGTAGAGCCATTCAGTCCTAAGAGGCTACGCGCCAGGAGATGGACTGGGGTATTTGTTTGTGTCCATATGTCCTTCCACAACTCAAGATGACACCTGAGATCTGAGCCTGTCCCCTCCTCCTAACACAAACACACACACTTGTGTGGAAGAGGCATTCCTGGGATACTAGAGTTCAGAGTAACCCTTCCCTTGATTGGGCCCCAGGATCTAAGACTGTGCGCAATAAGAGAAGAGAGTGGATACCTTCTACTGGATTGCCATGATGTTTTAGCTTTTCTCTACTTTTTTGTTCATCTATTTTTCCTTGCATTGTGGTCTCTGCTGATGATGACAGTCATATTATCCCCTCAAACCAGAGTGTGTGTGTGTGTGTGTGTGTGTGTGTGTGTGTGTGTGTGTGTGTGTGTGTGTGTGTGTGTGTGTGTGTGTGTGTATCAGATTGAATCACATCCTCACCTTCATACATGACCAGTATGATGCAGGGAGGAGCCCTAGCCATGGTCTGAAAGGACTGGAGTATGAGCAGGATTTTCCTTGAGATTCTTAAAAAGAAGCCTTGTACTTGGAGGAAAGCACATCAGGTTTTAAAAATATAAGCCATTTTACAAGGAAAAAGTCTTTTCCCCTCTCTATTCGCATCAGCTCTGAGAAAAAAATTGAAATAGAGTCAGAGAGAGCCAGGAGGTAATCAAGGTCCAAAGACTGACTCCTGTCCCTCCTCCCCCCCCCCCCCCAGCCCCAAGTCATTGGACAATGTGTTGAGGTTTCAGGGTGGGGGGTGGGGAGCTTAGTGGGAGAAGGCCTCACACATACCAATTTAGGGGTATGTTAGGGAAGTCCTAGATAGGGGTCGATTATAGAAGAAACTCTAAAAGAAGAACTCCAGGCCATTCATTTATTCCTTTGTTCAGAAGCACTTACATACCTGCCTTGCATCAGACTGTATGCTGAAGGCACATAAAGATGAGTTCTGAAACCAGGTATAGTGATGCAGACTTGTAATATCAGCACTCAGGAGGCAGAGGCAGGAAGATTGGAGAATTCTATGTCAGCATAGGCTACATATTGAGTTCCAGGCTAGCCTGAGCTGCTAAGTAAAACCTTGTCACACAATAAGTGCTGTTTACCTAGCATGCATGAGAGAGAGAGTTAGTTTAGTATATACCATATCCTTAAAGAACTCTAGCTAGTAGGGCCAATTTTTAATATTGATAGGACAAGCTAAGTAGGGGATAGGGAATGTCCAGCCTTAGAGCCATATAAGGCCCTTAAAATCGTTTAGTATTTGACAGAAGAGACACATAAAGATGCCATTTGCCTGTACTGATAATTTGGTAAGGCCTGAGAATTATGTGATAAATATCCCTTTGGCTCAAATTTCCTTGAGCTAAGGGAGTAAACTTTTATTCAGGATCTATCATGTTCCAAGGTAGATGCTTTGTGTTTTTCTCTTTAAATCTTCACCATTGCTCATGGAGTCTTATAATCCCTGATCTATAGTGTAAGAAATCGAAATTCTTTTTTGTGTGTGTGTGCGCGTGTGTCGGTCGTAGGGCTTGAACTCTGGGCCTGGGTGCTGTCCCTGCGCTCTTCAGCTCAAGGTGAGCACTCTACCACTTGAGCCACAGCACCACTTCCAGCTTTCTAGTGGTTTATTGGAGATAAGAGTCTCATGGAGTTTCCTGCTTGGGCTGGCTTTGAACCATGATCCTCAGATCTCAGCCTCCTGAGTAGCTAGGATTACAGGCATGAGCCACCGGGCGCCCAGCAAGAAATTGAAATTCTAAGGTAGATGACTTACCCAAGCTCACACAGCCCTTGAAGGGCAGAGCAAGAACTGACATCAAGTCCTTTACCATCAATCTAGTACTCTTGGATCCCTAAAGGATGTTCTGGGGAGAAGGACTGTTTGGATATTAAGTGTCCAGGGAGTGGGGCTAAGGAAACATGAAACAGTCCAGGTGCCAGGTAGGGAGCCATGCCAAAATCAGCATGTGCCTGGGTCCCCTGAGCCCCAGAGGAAGAGTGTTCCAAAGGCTGCTTTTGCCAGCGCGCATGGATGGAGCAGGGCTGCTCCTTGCAGTGGGCCCGCTGCCCCCAGGGAAGAGCATGTTTGTCCTGGCGTTTACAGAGAGGGCCTGGGCTGGGTCTCTGCCAAGGGGGCTGGCACTAGCTCGGCATTCCTGCAGATTGGACACAATGATTCTAACCCAAATCCCACATATTTGATTTAATCACTTGGGGCTTTAGGGGAGGCGGGGGAGAGGGAAAGAGAGAAGAGTGAGTTTCAAGCCTAATATGGACAAAAAGAGATTCTGCCTTCTCTTTAGATCTGTGACGTGCAGCCAGCAGGTTTGGAGACTGAAATAGTCCCATCTGCATCTGCTTAGCAGTCTGCATGAGGGGCCAGCACCTGCTGCTATGTTCCCTCCCCACTGGGCCTTGTCAGACCCTCCAGGCCTGAGTCCAGAGGCAGTCATAGACTACTACCAGCCCCTTGTGGGACTATAGTCTCTCCCAGCCTCCTTGCGGGGGCTGTAGGCCTGAAGAGCCCATAGGCACATCTCCTTTACCTACCTTTTTTTTTTTTTCCTGTCGGTCGTGGGCCTTGAACTCTGGGCCTGCACACTGTCCCTCAGCTCTTCAGCTCAAGGCGAGCGCTCTACCATGACTTGAGCCACAATACTACTTCTGGTTTTCTGAGTGGCTTATTGGAGATGAGTGTCTCACGGACTTTCGTGCCCAGATTGGCTCAACGCAGTCCTCAGATCTCAGCCTTCTGAGTAGCTAGCATTACAGGCGTGAGCCACCAGGCACCAGCTTCCTTTACCTACCTTTTAAATCCCTCTTTCTTTTTTGCCTGATAGCATACCTTTATCCTGTGTCTTTGTATCTCTTTCCCTCTCTGCTTGTCAGAAAATGAGCAGGCTTTGGAGGTAAGACAGAAAAGACAAAGGCCAAAATGACTCCTGACTGCACAGGAGTCATTAGGGAATGGCTTCATCTATTTTTTTTTAACTTTGTGGCCTCATCTGCAAAATAGAGAAAATAGAGGTAATCATGCCTCCCCTTCTGGGTATGCAATTTGTCTTCCTAGAATGAGGTTGAATTAAGGAAGAGGAAAAAGCAGCTGAGGAGAGGGGACATTTTGTAGCATTTCCCCTGTTGGGAGCATAAAGCTATATGTCTTGCTCTTAGTGAGAATCTACTCAAGTCCTCTAGGATGCCAGCCTTTGGGATCTAAACCCACAAATCACCCTGTAGCCTCTGCCAAACTGCTCTGTCCTTTGCCAACCTCTGTCAGTGTCCTACTAGTAGGAGAGGCTATGTGGTACTTGGTAGGAGCCTGGCACCTTGGGCTGAAAAAACCCAATGCCTGTCCCTGAAGAATAGCACCCTGTCTTGGGGGACCTGGTTGTGTTTAGGGGTTGCTTGGAGTCTTCTACTAGAGAAGAGTACTTAGACCTCAGTTCCAAATAATAATAATAATAAATAATGTAATTCATGCATTCTCTGTGTGTGTGTGTCTCTTTCTTCTTCATCCTGGCCCAGCCAAGCGGGAAAGGGCCTCGGTTGCCAGAGGTGTACTGTGTCATCAGCCGCCTTGGCTGCTTCGGCTTGTTTTCCAAGGTAAGAGACTCTGGCTTCCTCCCCCAGCTCCCAGCTGACAGCTCCCATAGGAATGGCTGCAGCCAGCCAAGATGAGAAAACCACCTGTGTAGAGCGGGTGAGAGAAAGAGAATTCAGGAGCAAGCACAAGTGAGCTCTCTCCTTATTTCCAAACCTGGCTCCTTACCTAGCTGGCTGGCATTCCCCCAGCATCTATGTTAACAGTGTCTGTTTATTTCAAAGCCCACCCTGGGCTGTGGACAGAGCCAGTGTCCTTGGGAGAACCAGGAGGGCCCAGGAAGCTGACTGTCAGCTGGTGTTTCCTTGGCTCAGCTGCTCCACTCTAGGGAACTGAAGCAAGGCGAGTAAGCGGGAAAGAATAGTCACTGAGTGCCAAGGAAAATGGAAGGGTGTAAAGATCCTGGCAGGACAATCCTCCCATCTCCTGGTCTTCAGCCCAGCTTGGGGAGATATCAGGCTGCTTAGGACGTAGAAAGGCAGCTCCTGACACCCTTTCTCTTTGGGCTCTTGGTGGTGGGCACAGGTCCTAGATGAGGTGGAACGCCGGCGTGGGATCTCTGCTGCATTGGTCTATCCCTTCATGAGAAGTCTTATGGAGTCGCCCTTCCCAGCCCCAGGGAAGACCATCAAAGTAAAGACTTTCCTGCCAGGTGCTGGCAATGAGGTAGGGACTGCTGCTGCTCTTCTTTCCAGCCCTTGCGAGGACTGGAATTGAACCTGGCCAGCCACCATTGCAGCCTCTGGGAGGTGTAGAATGCATACCTCCCTCCTCCTTGCTCACCGTTTCACAGGACTGAAAGTGAACCATGGAGCGCTGAATATTGCCCAACTCTTTGCTCCTTCTGGGAATCTTCCCTTACATGTTAGATAAAATAGCACCCCAATTACCTTCCTTTTGTCCACATACCAAATATTTACTGTATATATGCACTCTCCCACAATCAAGGATTGTGCCTGCTTTGGGCAGTGTCATAAAGGACAGAGCTCTGTCCTCTATGAGTTGCTAGTCTAAGCGCAGAGTGTAACAAAGGGTCTGCTTTAGGTTAGGGGGCCAGGAAGGGCTCTGCTGAGAAAGTACAAGTTTACCTGGCACCTAAGCAGTGATTAGAGGCAGCAAAATGAAGCAGGAAGAGGGAGATAGATTGAAGGAGAAGAAGGTGGATGGGAGATTATTTCAGGGAGCCGGAACAGAGAGTGCACAGACAAGAATGTGGGAGGTGCATAGGCTGGTCAAGCAACTGAAAAAAGGCCAACGTGGTAGAAAGGGTGGTAAGGAGGGCAGGGTAGATGGGCCAGGCACCAAACCACAGTGCTCCTGCCAGGCCAAGTTAAAGGCTTTGGATTTTATCTAAGAGGGTTAAGGTAAGATCTGATAGGTTTTTAAAAGGTTGCTTTGGCTACTGTGCAGATAATAGGGTGGAGTAAAAACAGAGAGATTAGCTGTAGTACAGGAAGGCGATAGATGATTGTAGCCCGAGTCAAGGCAGAGACACAGATGGATTTGAAATGTGTTTTAGACTTAGGAGCAGTGATGCGTTGTGTTTGGTGGGAAGGGGAAAAGTAAGTGTGAGGACCAGGTTTCTGGTCTGAACAACAGGTTAGGTAATGGAACCAAAGCTTGATCTGGGAGCATGTGAAGGAGGGGCCATGATGAAGAAGAGGAAGCATTCAGTTTTGTTCCTGTTACTATTTTAGTAAATAGGGAAGAGATAGAGCCCAGGAATAGGCCATCCTCAGTACTGCCATGGAGCAGTGTCAGGTTAATTTGGAAGACATAGGAAGTGAAGAGGAGGGAGCAAAGATGTTACTTAGGAAGCGAGTTGTAAATAGTGACCAGGTACTATCCCAGGTCAGGCTGGGGTCTAGGGGCCAGAAGCCTCTGTGTGTGTGTGTGTGTGTGTGTGTGTGTGTGTGTGTGTGTGAACAACTTGTATAGACAGCTTTTCACTGGGATTGGCTTTGAAGCCAACTAGGAAAGGAAACAGAGTCAAAGGAAACGGGGAGCAGGAAGTCGATGAAAGATGTGTGGATGCTAGTGTGAATGGCCCCAGAAGAAGAAGTTAAGGTTGCAGGAGAGGAAGGAAGATATACTCATTGAGAGTCTTCACTGGAAGACTGGCTTTTATTAGGAGAAAAGGGAAGGCTTACAGATTTTGATTCTTATCTGATGGCTTTGTTTTTCTCAGAAGGGCATCCTCTGAGAGCAAGACATGGGAGTCGGGTTCTAGAAAAGGGAAGGGTTCAGTTCATGTTGCTGAGGGAGAGGGAGACTGACTTGAGATGCATCCTCTGTTAGATGGACATTAGGCTAGTTGAATAATCTTGGGGCAGGACAGCTGACCCTGCCCTGGCAGCCTGAGTCTTTAGATCTGGTCTGCCACCTTCCAGGTTTCATTTCTCATCTGTCTGATTTGGGTTCTTCTTGCTCCTGGTTGCTTTTGTGCAGAAGACATTTCCTCTCTTGTCTCTGAAGTCCAAGTGAAGCAACTTATTTATGGAGTTGTTTCCCTGACTCTCACCTGCGCTGCCCAGATGTTAATCACCCCCTTTCTTTCTCTTTAACACAAGCCTGTGGGCCATGATAGGTTAGACTCACTCAGCCCCATGAGGATTCAGTTTCCTCTCAGGAGGAGAGCTTTGGGACCGGAAAGGATGCAAATGGCCTCTGGTATAATTATGGTGTGGCATTCTCTCTGCCCACAATTACTGAGCACTTACAGCGGCCTCCTCAGTACTGTGCTAATCACTGGACCTTCCAGGAGTTTAGCATTGGCAGGAGAGGCAGGGTAAGACTGGTCATTGTTTCCTTTTTGCTGTTTTTCTGGGGTTCAGAGGGATATATATATACTGAGTTAGAAGTTAAAATTCCTTTACTTGCTTAAATTCCTAAAAATGAATGAGATTGGGTGGGTATAAGCCTCTGGAGAAGAGTTTACTTTGACATCTTAGGGCTATAAGAGGGAATTTGTTTGTCACCCCAATTTTCAGGAAGCCCTCACATACCTGCTACCCACAGATGCTGAGAGACCAAGCATGAGACTAGGCAGGCTTCAGTTGACATCTTTGGCATAGCTTGATTGTTAGCTGTTTCTCTTGCTATCACTCCTAGGGTTCTTTGATACCCTCACCTCTACCCACTGTCCCGAAAAGTAGGTTTCAGGGTCAGAACAGTCTAGGATTGTTCTGGCTGTTCTATGATGTAGACAGTCCTGTCTGACAAGATCTTTGGAATAGCTAGCCTTTCCATGTGTTTTCTTCATCCCTGGCATAAGGCTTAGGATGACAGAGATAAAGGCAGGATGGCAAGACAAACAGCCTCTGGAAGGAAACTTCCTGGCAGGAAAGGGTGGGGACATGACAATAAGGATAACATCCTTGCCTTCCCAGTGATAGCTGAGACCAGAGCCCTGGGATGTGGAGACACAGCTCTTCCTGTGGCCTACGGAGCAAGGATGGACTGTGGGATCTAGTCAGGGCGGAGGCCAAGCTCTTTGCCTGGGGAAATAGGCCAGAGGGAGGGGGACATGAAAATATGAGCCTGTGTGCCTTCCCCATTCTCTTTAGTCAAAACAGAAATCAGTTCTCCCTCTCCCCCACCCTTTCCTGAGAGTCTGCATTGGGGTGCCTCCGCCCTGTTGTCTCCATGTTTGGTTAGCCCTCTTGTGGGAGCAGAGCTAAAGTCTGAGCAGAGGGGAGACTGTACCTTACTGCCGAATAGAAAGATTCTAGAGACCCTTGGAAGGAGAGGGTGGGAAGGGAAACCAACCTGCAGGTGCTTTGTGTGGGGCCCAGGGTGGCCCTCACCCACCTGGCCTTTGCCTGCCCATTTCTTTTGTTCTCCCATAGGTGTTAGAGCTGCGGAGGCCCATGGACTCCCGTCTGGAGCACGTGGACTTTGAGTGCCTTTTTACCTGCCTCAGTGTGCGCCAGCTTATCCGAATCTTCGCCTCTCTGCTGCTGGAGCGCAGGGTCATTTTCGTAGCAGATAAGCTCAGGTAGAGCCTAACCGAAACAAGACGGGGGAGGGCACACTCACTAACTATTACCAAATATCTACCAGTCCTAGTGTATGTTATATACTATTGCACTGGTATGTGGTGATGTGTATGTGTGTGGGGGCTATGTGTGCGTGCATGTGCATATGCATGCTTGTACACTGAGAAACACATCAAGTAGGAAAGAAGGATTAGAAAACTTGGAATGTGATAAAGGGTTGGGGAGCACATAGGCTGGCAGGATTGGGAATCCAGTGAAGGATTAAACATGAGAAGAGGGGGAAGCAGCCATGAGTGTACCAGTGCACCAACATTAATATGGAGAAAGGTAAGAAATGTGTAAGCTTGGTGGTACACTCCTTTAATCTCAGCTAATCAGGATGCATAAGCAGGAGGACTATGCATTTTGAGCTCCCCCCCCCCCTCCTCCGGGTACAGATAGTAAGACCCTATCTCAAACACAAAGCATGGCCAAGTGGTAGAACACTGCCTAAGCAAACCTGAGGAGGCGCTGACTTCAATATCTAGTACTGCAAAAAACAAAACAGTAACAGCAGCAACAACAACAAAAAAGTGTCTGGACCATGACTCCGTGTGTGTGTGTATGTGTGTGTGTGTGTGTGTGTGTGTGTGTTAATATGAAATGGAAGCTGGCTTCATGCTTGTAATACTAGCTACTCAGAAGGCTGAGATCTGAGGATCACAGTTCCAAACCAACCCAGGCAGAAAAGTCCATGAGACTCTTGTCTGGAATAAACTACTCAGAAAAAGCTGGAAGTGGTGCTGTGGCTCAAATGGTAGAGTGCAGCCTTGAACACAAGAAATTCAGGGACAGAGTCTGGGCCCAGAGTTCAAGCTCCAGGACAGGAGGGAGAGGGAGAGAGGGAGAGGGATAGAGAGAGGGAGAGGGAGGGAGAGAGGTGTGTGCGTGCTGGTAGTGGCCCTTTCCTTCAGGAGGAGGCAAGGCTGCCTTTGTGGGATGCTGAGTTGAAGGCACAAAAGCCATCCAGTGAGGGCCTGTGAGCTGCCCTTGGTGGGAGCCCTGGAGTTGTGGAGAAAGGCCAGGTAAAGGGTTGCGGCTGTGGCTGTGGGCAGAAAGGTGGGTTCAGGAGGACTGGCTGTCAAACCACAAAAGAGAAGATGGCTAGAGACTAGAGGGGCCTATGAGTTGGTTTAGGAAGGGTAAGAAACAAGCAAGATGAGTTCTAGGACTTGGTCCAGAGTGTTGGCCCTTATGATTTCACAAGTGGAGGTCCCCATCTGGGATGTGGTGCCAGAAGTGACTGTCATTGGTCATGAGGCATTCTAGGAAGAAAGAAGTCCGGATCTTCTTGATAGCTGCGGGTTTCTTTATTTTTGTTTTCTAAATAACATGTTAGGGTTGATTAGGCTGGAAGAGGATAGGATGTTGGTGATACCTTGTTCTTTATGTCATAAATTTGGTCACAAGCAATGGTATTCTAGAGTGAGATTGATTAGTCCCTTAGCCATTCTACCTGCCATGTGCCTGCATGCATGTGTGTGCATGAGTATATGAATGTATATGTGAGTGTGTGTACGTGTGTGTGTGTGTGTGTGTGTGTGTGTGTGTGTGTGTGACTGAGATGAAGGCAGAAAGAAAACAGCCTTTCAGTGTCTGGTTGCCCAGCAATTCCAACTCCCAGGGCATTTTCTACTATCTGCATGAGGTGAGAATAAAGAGAAACTGGTGAGATGCCCCCTCAGTATTTCTCATGGGGCACTGGGGCAGGAACCCAGGCCCACCTACCAAAACTAGAGCCACTGAACTTTCCAGAGGTGGCCACGGGTTAGAAATGATGACGCTTCCTCTTAAGTTCCTGTCCCAGGCCCAGTGCTTTTGAGTCTGTCAGCGCAGGTGTTCCATGACACATTGTGAAGAGGCCTCTCCAGGTAGCTGGAACCAGCTGCAGGAGCAGCTCCCGGAGCCCCACCCCTGCCACTTTCAGCCAACAGTAGAGCCCTGCCTTGGCCAGACCACAGTGGCCTCTGACAGACCCTGAGATTCTGTTTCTGAAGATTTTACCCCCACGCAGGCTGAGCCTTCTCTTTGCACCCCCCACTCCAGCTCCCCTAGGGCTGTGAATACAGCTATTGTTTCCTGTGGTTTGCAGCTGCCTCTGAACACATTCCAGGACCATTCTGGGAGGAAAATAGCCCAGGCTCCTGTTCTTCTCCTGCTCAGCATTCAAATTCTGCCAATCTTCAGACTTATAAAGGATGTACTCAGGGTTTACCTCAGACTAGAGAGGGGAGAGGTGGGATGGCACATGGACCTAAATTGTGGTGATTCAGCCACCTTCCTCCAGCTTATGTCCCGTTGGTCTTTCTCTTCTTCCCCCCCCCCCCCCCCCGCCTCCATAACTTCTGGGGTGTTTATGCAGCAGGGCTCTGTACTGATTGTACCTAAGGGTCATAAAAATCCTTCTGCTTCCTAAGTCTCTGGCCCATGAGAGGGGACTATGGAAATCAATGTGTCCCCTGACTGAGACAGCCCTTTTCCAGAGCTCTTCTAGATGACTTCTGTTGTCCCCAGGGGAGAAAGGTGCTGGTATTACAAGTGTATATCACCATACCTGGCTGAACTGCTCAGAGAGCCCAGGGCTGATTGGGGGTGGGGGGAAGACATTGATGCAGAGAGAAATGCAGATTTGAAAAGGAGCTGTGTTGCTCAGGGTGCTTCTTGCTCAGCCCTCAAGTAGCTGGGACATTAGGTGTGTGTCCCAGCAACTCTCCTCCTGACAGATGTGGGGGATGCCCTTCAGACTAAGTGTGTCTCATGTTTTTCTGGCATCCCACACACACCAGGCCCTGCACATTTCTGCATGTGCAAGCTGGTATCCCAGCAATTGTACTTGCTTCTCATCTGTGCTTGGGAAGCCCTGTGGGACTTCTGAGACTGGAAGCCTGGAGCCCCCTTGAGGCCAAGAGAAGGATAACCCCACTGAGACCTGAGAGGAAAGAAGGGTGCTTTCAGCCTGATTAGAATGGTACCTGCGCTTCACTCCCTGTTTAGTCAGACCTGTTGCCAGCTGAGGAGAAAGGAGTGAGCAGTTAGAGGACAGAGAAGTAGAAGTGGTTCTAGGCTGAAAGACACCAAAACTGTGCCCCAGCTCTACCCCTTATAACCGAAGTTACTCTTTTTTAAATCACGGGCCCCAGTGGTGAAATGCCCCAGCTGCGACCTTCCTGCTCCTGAGCACTGGATTTGTGTTGCCTCTTGCGGTCTCAGCCTTTGTGCCCCCAGTCTGAACTGATAGCCCCACTAGCTGGGATCTGCTAGTACCTTCTGGTTATTCTTTGTGTGTGTCTTGTGTATGTTCAAGTGGTGCTGCAAACCTCTGTGGCTGTAACCTTTTTTTTTTTTTTTTGGTTGGTCGTGGAGTTTGAACTCTGGGCCTGGGTGCCATCCTTGAGCTCTTCAGCTCAAGGTTAGCCTTCTACCACTTGAGACACAGTGCCACTTCCAGCTTTTTCTGCTTATGTGGTGCTGAGGAATCAAACCCAGGGCCTCATGCATGCAAGGCAGCAAGCACTCTACCACTGAGCCACCTGCCCAGCCCCAGTGGCTGTATCTTGGTACAGTCTCCAATGTGTCTAGAATTGGTGCCCATGAGGCCATGAGCAATGGTCAGATGTGTGTGTGTGGGCTCTGCCACTTAAAGATCAATCCCCAAGTCCTTTAGTCCCATTAGCATCTTTGTTGCATTGGAAGTTTGACATAAAAGGATATTCTGAGCCTCCAGCAGGCTTTTAACTATCCTTCTTCAAGGTACTGGGCCTGGACTGGTCAGGAGATAGACCTGGGCTCAGGGACTCTGTCTCTCTGTCTATCAGTACCCTGTCCAGCTGCTCCCATGCTGTGGTGGCCTTGCTCTACCCCTTCTCCTGGCAGCACACCTTCATTCCTGTCCTTCCGGCCTCCATGATTGACATCGTCTGCTGTCCCACCCCTTTCCTGGTTGGCCTGCTCTCCAGTTCCCTTCCTAAACTGAAGGAACTACCTGTGGAAGAGGTAGGCCATGTGGAGAACCAGCTCGGAGGGATGGGTGGGGACCGAGACCTCAGGAGGTCAAGGTGGGGAGAGAGAAGGCTGCTGGGATCTTCCTCCTGGGCTCTCCAGGCCTCTATTTAGCTCTGTCCTTTCTCCTAGTGGGTGGGTGGATCTATCTCTGGTTGGATTTTTTTTTTCCTGTCTTCTGTCCCTGGGTAAATGGAGATTTGGGGACCTGTTAGAGGCCTTTGCAGAACTCATTCCCCGAACCCCACTGCCTCTAATGACTCCTTTTTTCAGGCGCTGATGGTGAATCTGGGATCTGACCGATTTATCCGGCAGGTAAGAGCTTTAAGGCTGCAGAACCTCAGCCTGCTCCAGTGGGCTCCAGTCTAAGAACAGTGGGCTCTGTTAGACAGGCCCCCAAGCACTTCACACCATCATAGAAGTCAGTCTTATGGTCTATGTGTTGAGTTCCAGGTTCCATGCTCACAGAGTAGACAGGGGTGGGGAGATGCTGACTTGGGAACCCTCACCCTCAACAGGATCTGCCTTTCTGGTTGGTGTCATTGCCTTCGGAAGGCAGTATTGGAGTGTGAAGAACAGAGTGTAGAAGTCTGGGCTCTGCCACCTTAGAGCCACATAATCTTGAACAGGCTTCACAACTATGAGGCAGTGCTCTTATCTGTGAAATGGTGGTGATGATAGCACCTGCCCTGAAATATCCTGGGGATTATAAACATTACTAGAGTGTGCTTTGTAATGTGAAGGTTGGCAGCCATTGTTGCCACCTGCCAAAAGCCTGTTGATCATGGAAATTCTCCTGGCTTCTTACAAATGAGCATAACAGTCTATTATACAGAATCTATTACACTGCAGCATTACAAGGCTTCAAGTTGTGGCTAAAGAGTCTGAAGTTACTGAGACGCAGGCTGTGGCACAGTCTCCCTGTACCTCCACATGGAGCTGAAGACAAAAGGAATAGGAGAGACTTCAGTCAGGGCTTAGCACGCAATAAATGCTTGTCACTGTCAGCTGTGGTTATCATCACAGTGTCTTCCTTCTCCTGCAGATGGATGATGAAGACACATTGCTACCCAGGAAGTTGCAGGCAGCTCTGGAGCAGGCTCTAGAGAGGAAGAATGAATTGATCTCCCAGGACTCTGACAGCGACTCCGATGATGGTGAGGGAAGCTTTCCTAAGCAGAATCTTTCTGGTCCCAGGCTTATGTTCTGGGTCTGGGCTTCATGAGTCCTGGACCCTATTCCTATGCATCAGACCCTTTTTAGGTGATGAGGCTCCAGGTGTAGGACCTTGGTCTCACTCAGTACCTGTTTTCTTTTTTTTCTGGTACTAGGGTTTGAACTCAGGGCCTCGAGCTTGCTAGGTCAGCACTACTATTTGAGCCATACCCCCAGCCACTTTTTGCTTTTAGTTGTTTTTCTAACAGAGTCTTGTACTCTCTGTCCAGGTGACCTTGATCTTTACGTTCCTTTTTATGCATCTCACATAGCTGGAGTGAAAGTCACACACCACTACACCAAGCTTTTATTGGTTGAAATGGGGTCTCACTGTTTGCTTAGGCTTGCCGTGAGCTGTGATTCTTCTCATCTTTGCCTCCCAAGTATTTGGGATTACAGGCCAAAGCCACTATGCCTGGCCCCTTGCATGTTTTCTACCTTAGGATATTTGGGAAGGAAAATGCAAAGGCAGCACAGCTACAAAGACTGGTCCTTCCCTTTGGGTTTTCCTTCAAGCCATTACAGAAGCTGGAAGGCCCTTCCTTTGCCTCAGAGGCTAGGAAAGTAGTAGTATATTGGTCGCCAAGTTCTACTTTAAATCATTCATTCATTCATTCATTGTCTGCCAGCTTCCCTGTTCGGAGTTTTGCTGGGAGCAGGGAAGCTGTCGACTGGGCTTCCCCTGCAGGCTCTTGATCTAAACCTCGTAGATTTTCTTTTCTCTTTCAGAATGTAATACCCTCAATGGACTGGTATCAGAGGTGTTTATCCGGTTCTTTGTGGAGACTGTTGGGCACTACTCCCTCTTTCTGACCCAGAGTGAGAAGGGGGAGAGGGCCTTTCAGCGAGAAGCCTTCCGCAAGTCTGTGGCCTCCAAGAGCATCCGCCGTTTTCTTGAGGTTTTTATGGAGTCTCAGATGTTTGCCGGCTTCATCCAAGATAGGGAGCTACGGAAGTGTCGGGCAAAGGGTAAGGTCTGAGGGTATGTGTGTGTGTTTGAAATTTATACTAGGAGCCTCAAGCGTGATAGACAGGCACGCTGACACTTGAGCCCTGCTCCAGCCTTTTTAGTTACTTTTCATGTAGCTTTTGTCATTTTTACCTGGGGCCACCCTCCAACTGTGACCTTCCTGCTTATGCCTCCTATGTAGCTGGGAGTACAAGCATACATCATCACAGCTAGTGGGCCAAGCTTCTTAATCCCCCTTCTTTTCTAATAGAAAGTTGCAAAGGAGTGAAGTTCTCTTGTCCTACTAGATGTCTTTACTAGGCATGCACGGGTGGAGGCAGGAGGCAAGACAGCAGGACTTTTACATACCTCAGAGCAACTTGCCCTTGACTGCCCATCTCTTTCTCACATGTCATTATTCATTAGCCAAGGACTAGATCCAGTGATATGGGGGCTTTTGATGTCCCAAGGGGCTGGGAAGTCCTTTGAGGATTGGGCTGTTTTACATGGTTATTTGATCTCTAGTTATCAGTTCTCTCTAGGGTTTGTCTTTTCCAGACCTTTGTGTCTAACCTCAGGGATATTGTTTCTTATTCCCACTAATATTACCCAATTTAGTTTGATAAACCTTTTAAACCACCACGTAAGAGTTTATAAAGGAAGCTAGAGGCACCTATGTGGAGGCTGCTCTGAATAGCAGGGTAGCCTCATCACTCTACAGTTCAAACATGTGCATTCAGCAGTGGCAATCTGTGGTGACCACTAAAAATCACTGGCTGAGCCTATAGACTTCTAGTAACTGTTCTCCTCCCTGGTTCCCTTTTTCCTCTTCTCCAAGGCCTCTTTGAGCAACGAGTGGAGCAGTATTTGGAGGAGCTCCCTGACACTGAGCAGAGTGGGATGAACAAGTTTCTCCGAGGCTTGGGTAAGCAGTCTTGTTACTAATAAGATTGCTGTGCAGTCAAGGAGGGAAATCCTGGGTTTTCTACACCCTAAAATACTGTAAATCAATGCCAGCAGGTAATTATTCAGGAGCTGTAGACAGAGCTGGAGGGGAGCCTTTAGTGAATGAAGATCAAGTGCCCAAGCTAGTGCTTCTAGGGCATTTAGCACAGGACTGATCAAACTGCAGAACAAAATGAAACCCGATCATCACATAAGTTGGGTCTTTCTGGATATACACCTTCCTGAGTAAAATGAGGACCGCTAGGGACAATGAGCTTTTCTCTAGGTATAAAGGCCTATGGAGCAGCAGTGTCCCGCCTGCAAAGTCCTACTCCTTCAAACTCACTGAGATCACAGGCCATCATTATCTCAGTTTAAAGGAAAGCTGAAGTCAAAGAGGGTTAAATAGTTTACCCCAATCATAGGTTTGAATGTCAGTGCCTGAATTAGTGTCTTCATCACCCAGATTGAAGAAGGGTAGGATGGATGGCAAGATGGTAGTAAAGGTCAGAAGAAGTGTATTGAAACATTCTCTCTTCTCTCTGGCTAACAGGCAACAAAATGAAGTTCCTTCACAAGAAGAATTAAAAACACCTTTCCCAGTAGCGGGAGTCCAGTGCCTCAAGAGGCTGGTGGGGAGAGGGCTCAGCTTGGGACCCTCCGGGCTGCTGTGGCTGCTCTGCCCCGCCCCACAGACCCCCACCTCCAAGCCAGCCCACCGCTGCCTTCACCACATCCCAGGATACTGTTTGTACATAGTCTGCTATTAGCCTTCTTAACTGTTTTTGTAATAAGCAAAGAGAATCTGGTAAATATCTGTATATTCCCAAGGGGCTGGGTGCTTTTCCGCCTTGCCTGAGAATGGATGGAGTGTTGCTGGGTGCTGGTGACTGGCCAATTATGTGCAGCTGACTGTCTCAGCCGAACCACTGATCTTCCCTGGAGGCTTCTGGCCTGCCTGCCTGCTTGCCTGCCTTCAGCCCCTGCTGCCAGTCTCGGGCCCTGGAGAGCAGACACTGTCTTGTTATGTACAGGAGGACTATTATTTTTAATCTTAGAGTTTCTATTTTTTTTTTCTGGTAGTCTCCTCCCTCTAGCCTGTTTTTGAAAGGCAAAGTTTATTTGTCTCCATTTGCAGCATGGAACCAGGTTCTGGACCTGGTGCTGAGATGGTCAGTGAATTATGGGACGCCCACCCTCAGCTCTGCCTGTGTGCTCTCTGGGCTCTGCTCCCAGCCAGTGGTGGCCACGTGGCCATTGATGCGGTACAGGGCATCCTTCCTTCCCACCATCAACAAGTGTTCTCAATAAACAGTGTACAGCCATTTGGGCCCAAGAGCCCCATGTGTTCCCTGGCTTCATTATCTTGAGTTCTGGGAATGGGCTGAGAAAATCAATCAGGGATACATCATGTGAGCAATGAATGAGTGGGTTATCTTCAGTATGAGTTCACTGACCTCCCCTAAAATTGAATTCTCTGGCTTGATTTCTATGACTAGACTTCGAAATCACCAACTATTATTTGTTTCACTTCCTTCTCCAGTAGCTAGCTGTTCACTCACATTTAATGATGGGAAGAATGCTCTTTAGCACCACCACTAGGTGATATCATAGGATGTCCTGACATTCGTGGCCCTGCTAATGGCCAGGCCTGGGCTTGGTTACAGCCGTGACCCATTGACAATGATTTTGGGGGGGGGGGGGGGGGGGGAAGGTGGGGTTGGTAATGGGGCTTGAACTCTGGGCCTGGGCGCTCTCCCTCAGCATTTCAGCTCAAGGTTAGTACTCCACCACTTGAGCCACGGTGCCACTTCCAGTTTTCTAGTGGTTAACTAAATATTTAAGTTTGTCTTTCCTGCCCAGGCTGGCTTTGAACCACGATCCTCAGATCTGTCTCCTGAGATTACAGGCAAGGGCCACTAGCTCCCAGACCTATCATTTCTCAATCTCCCACTTTTACTGAGGCCCCAAGAACTTTTACAGATGTGATCAAATCATAAGACATTCTTCTAAGTTTTTCAACTTTTGTTCCTTAGGTAAATCTCAGAGGAATGTTTCCTTCCTCACTGCTGGGGCTGTGAAAACCCACACTGGCCACACCCACTTAGAATGGGCTCTCAGGCCCACTGAGTGATTGTATGGCAGGGCACAGAAGCCTTAGGGGAGAGGAGATTCTGAGTACAGTTGGTCTCATGTCTTAAGACTTCCCAAGTTCTGCTTCCACAAGCCTGTCCTCTCCATTCCTAAACTATGGATTCTGAACCCTGTCAGATTTTTAAATAAATGCTATAAAAATTGCCCCCCTAACTTTTAAGAGAAATCCAAGGGAAGTACTTTGTTATTAATGCGTGTGTAAATATGGCTCAGTGGTAGAGCGCTTGCCTTGCATGCTTGAGGCCTTGGGTTTGATTCCTCAGCACCACATAAGCAAAATGAAAGGAGCCGGAAGTGGCGCTATGGCTCAAGTGGTAGAGTGCTAGCCTTGAGCTGAAAAGCTGAGGGACAGTGCTCAGGCCCAGAGTTCAGGCCCCACAACTGGACCCCCCCCCCCCAAATAAAAAATAAACCCAGTCCAGTTTAAACCCAGTCCCAGTAGGAAGGTCTGAGTCTCCTTCAGTTAGCCACTAAAAAGCCTGAAGTGGAGCTGTGGCTCAAATGGTAGAATAGCCTTGAGCAAAAAAGGGCAGGCCCTGAGAGTTCAAGCCCCAGTACTGACACCAAAAAAAAAAAAAAAAAATTCCTATGCAGACTACTAATAGTGCTGAATTAACAACTCTTGCTGAGTAACTTAAAAGGTTTCCTTTGTGATTAGCAATTTTTGGTAATATTCTGAACAAAACAAAGTACCAGATTGCTTGATTCAAACAGCAGCTATAGTAAAAATCTATGAAAACAATGGGATGGATTAACTATCCTTAAGTAGTAGTGTTCTAAGCTAGGTTTTGGTTGTGTAGAACTTACTCTTCTATTACACGATATCTAATGATTGAAAAACAAGTTAAAATAATGGGACAATGAATTTGTAAAACAGCCAGGCACTGGTGGCTCATGCCTGTAATTCTAGAAACCTAGGAGGCTGATATGAGGACTGCAGTTTGAAGCCAGCATGGAAAGTGTAAGACCCTTACCTTCACTAAAACAACCAAAAGCTAAAAGTTGCCCTGTGGCTCAAGTAGAAGCACTAGCCGTGCTTGAGCAAAAGCAAATCAGGTTCAGCACCTAGGCCTTGAGTTCAAGCCCTCAGACCAACACCAAAAAATAAGCTATACAACATTCCCCAAATGGTATTACCATTCAAATGCGTACTTAAGTCTTTCTGATAATTCCGAGGCAACTCAGATGAAAGGTAATACTGTCTCCTCACAGCAATTATAAGGGTGCTATCCTACCCCACCCTTGTCTTGCTGTGTAGCCCAAACTTTTCAAACTTAGATCCACCTGCCATAGCTTTTGTGTATATCACCTTCACCTGGCCTTTATTAAAGATGTGATTTTTGATGCTGGGCAGTCTGTCCCATTCTACCATTTTAATGTTTTTTTTTAGTAACCATGCTCTAGTAAAACCACATTATGGGTTTTAGAGTACTTGCCAGCATGTATGAGACCCTGCTAGTTCAATACCACAATACATACCTTCTGTTTCTATGCTACTTGAGCCAAAGGCATAGTTCACAGGGACTATGACTATTTTGATGCCCAAACGGACCCACAGGTAATAGAATAACCAAGACAAGTTTCTAAGGAATGCAGGTACATGGCTTTCCAATGTCATTTAGTTCTGGTTTTACCTGCACTGTGTTGCTGCTTCACATACCGTGCCTCATTTGTAATCTTGTCTCTGGGGCATGATTATTAATTTTTTACCATTATAAGGTCAAAATTATAAGACACATTTGTCTTCTTTGCACAATCTCAGTATAAGGTGGGGAGGACTGCTTAACAGTTTAGTATATTTACATGAGTATTTCAAAACCAGTTTAGTAACTTATTTGAACAACTTTGCTTTTCAGTATCCAGCATTTTTTTGTCCAATATGGGGCTTGAACTCTGGGCATGGGTGCCGTACCTGAGCTCTTCAGCTCAAGTCAAGAGTTCTACCACCACTTTGAGCCATAGGGCCACTTCTGGTAGTTAGCTGGAGATAAGTCTCACTTTCCTGTCCAGGCTGGCTTTGAACCACAATCTCATATTCCCAGCCTCCTGAGTAGCTAGGATTGTAGACTTGAGATGCCAGTGCCAGCCAGCTCAGTATCCAGCTTTTGAGGACTAGATTTTTTTTTTGGGGGGGGGGGGGGGTGGTGTCTGGTCGTGGGCCTGGGCGCTGTCCCTCAGCTCTTCAACTCAAGGCTAGCATTCTACCACTTGAGCCACAGTGCCACTTCCGGCTTTTTTTCCTGCTTATGTGGTGCTGAGGAGTCGAACCCAGGGCCTCATGCATGCAAGGCAAGCGCTGTACCACTGAGCCATCTTCCCAGCCCCAGGACTAGATTCTTTTATGCTTGATTTGAAATCTCATGTTGACTCCCCTAAGTTTGGAAGCTGTATTGACTCATCGCACCTACAACTGGTTTGAAATACTTTTGGAAAGTACTACTAAGAACTCTTTAGGGCTGGGAAGGTGGCTCAGTGGTAGAGCACTTGCCTTGCAATGCATGAGGCCCTGGGTTCAATTCCTCAGCTCCACATAAGCAAAAAAAAAAAAGCTGGAAGTGGCGCTGTGGCTCAAGTGGTAGAGTGCTAGCCTTGAGCTGAAGAGCTGAGGGACAACGCCCAGGCCCAGAGTTCAAGCCCCATGACCGGAAAAAAAAAAAAAAAACATGCCAAGGCCTGTAAAATTCCGGAAAAACCCTGGGCCCTTAGAGGAACAGAGCCTCTGTCACCCCGTTAAAAAGAGCAGCCAACAATTGATGGTCAAATAAGAAAGGGGGAGATGTCGAGAGCCCTGCAGGGAGTCTATCTGCATGATAAGCTTGACTATCTCGCTGGAACATCTCTGGAGGCTATTTACAGAATCTGGTCTTTGCATCCTGCCCCAAACAAAGACCAGGTAGCTGCTATTGACCACCTTTTCACATTGCCCTAAGCAAGCATCCTGCAGCTGCTGCCCAATGAAAAAGCTTCCTTATTCTAAGCATATAAATACCCCTGTGTAAAAAATAAAATTTGGCAGCTTGATCAGAATCCTTGTCTTGCTGTCCTTCCTGTCTCTTGTCCCTTCATTCCTTCTCGCTTAGGTTCATTGCCCTGGTTGAAGTCCTGCCGGTCGGGACAACTGGCCGTTAGTCATCTCCAGTTAGCCACTCAAAAACTGCAAGTGGAGATGTTGCTCAAAGTGTTAGAGCTTTAGCTTTGAGCAAAAGACAGTGCCCAGGCCCTGAGTTCAAACACAATCTACCAAAAACAAAAACACCACAAAAACCTGGAGGTGAGATGAAAAGTTTAAAAGCAACTATGTACTACCTAAAGCCATCTCCCTCGCCCTCCAAAGAGAAAATTTCCTTCCTCACTTTCAGAATATTTCTAAGGGGGGGCCAAGAATTTTTTAAGCTCAGGGAGTCCTTTAATATATTAGGCACTTGCCATATTTAGAAATGTCTGAGGTTCTGAAAGTCGCCATCATGAAAGTGAGCTTCCTGGTGTAATAAACTTAAACCAGCTGCCCAAGGGAAGTATGCTGACCCCCAGGAAATCATGGAACAAAAGAAATTGTCAGGAGAGGCAAATGGAAGTGCCTTGGGAACCAGAATTTATTTCTGGCTGTTTCTGAATAGGGTAAGTCTGGACTATAGATGAAGGAAAACCAGCCACCAGACCATCCCCTCAGAGTGCAGGCAGACTTTGCCTATGAGCAGATTAGTCACACTTTCCTTGCTATATTCTGGCACTCCAGGAGGCTGAGATCTGAGGATCACAGTTCAAAGCCAGCCGGGCAGGAAAATCTGCCAGACAACCAGAAGTGGCGCTGTGGCTCAAGTGGTAGAGCACTCACCTTGAGCTAAAGAGCTGAGGGACGGCACTAAAGCCCCACAGTTCAAGCCCCAGGACCAACAACAACAAAAAGAATTTCAGATTGCCAAATTTCAGAACCCCAAACCAGCATATTCTCACTTTGACTGAAATTATTTGGTAGAAGATGAGTGGCCAAGTAGGAAAAGCTTTGGCCTAGGAACTAAGTCTTAATGTCCCTCAAAATCCTGAAGATAAATAACTGTCCCATAAAGAATGTTTTACAAGTGAAAAAAAATTTCTAACCACAAATAGCTTAGGGCATACTCTCCTACTTGCTGGAGAACAGCCGCCAAGAGTCTTTTAAAATCAAATTCTAATTGTCAACAGATATTAGCAGAGGCCACACATTTCTAGGATCCATCTGACAGGATCCCAATATACAGACAAGAAGGTAGAGATGACACTTTAGAACCTATACTCAGACCACAAATCAAAGGATGTTAAACATTTAATGAACCTCCTATGTGGCTTCAAGCCACCAGGATACAGGCACCCCCAACACCCTTAATCTTCTCCTCAGCTCTTCTGCTGAAGAATTTGGCTTTCACGATGACAGGCTGCTTAGGAAGCTTTCCTTTCCCCAGAACCTTATAGTAGCCCTAGGAGAGAAAAGAATTTACAATATAGCATAGCAGATATGAACACTCCAAATGTGGTAAGAAAAAAACCTGCCAATCGCTCTCTAAAAGTCCATGTGGGCATGTTTCTGATCTAGGCATCCCCCATCAGTGAATCAAGACCAGTAGATTCTTTTTGAGAACTCTAGCATACTAAGACAAGTACCATGCCAGGATGCGACTCTAGTCTCAAGCTAAGCAATCTCCCAAAGGACTATCACCCCAAGAATACTGAAAAGTTCTGACCACTAAAATCTCAAGGAACACTACTCTAGGAACAGATTTAAAGCTTCACTTGGATGGGTGTACAGGGATAGGACGGAGTACAATGTATCAGTAGAATAGTCACAATAATGCAGGCCCTGAATACTTAAGAGAACCTAGAGTTATACTTCATGACCAGAACAAAACTCTAGCCAAGAAACGAACTTGGTGGGATCAGGGCAATAGGTAAAGTGGTTACTGGTTACAACAATATACAAGTAGCAATGAAGTGAATTGAGAGCATCATTCCAACTGTCCTGAGGAAGACACAGCAAAACATCTGATCAATCTGTGCTCTGAATTTTCATTTCTTTAAAGGTTTTTGTTTTTGGGTCCGGTCGTGGGGCCTGAACTCTGGGCCTGGGCGCTGTCCCTCAGCTCTTCAGCTCAAGGCTAGTGCTCTACCATTTGAGCCACAGCACCACTTCCGGCTTTTTTCTTCTTGCTTATGTGGTGCTGAGGAATCGAACCCAGGACTTCATGCATGCAAGGCAAGCACTCTACCACTTAGCCACCTTCCTAGCCCTGAATTCTCACTTCTCAAAGAGAAAATGGGACCACAACAGGAGTAGGAAATAGTTCTGTTTTGGCCAAACTCAGTTACTTGAGGTTGGTGATCCTACCCAAAGGTGGAATTTCCTAGTGGCTAAGTACAAGACAGATCTCAGGGAGAAGCTTAGTTTAAGGCCAGACAAGGAACTTTACAAAATATCTAACTTACCGATCGAACCACATCAATGATGGGAGCAACTCCAGTCTTGTTTTTGGCAGCATTCACCCGTGTCTGCTCGCTGACCAATGTCCACAATTTATCAAGGTTAACAGTTGGACAAAAACTCTGGTTCCTCTTTAAGTGGTAATGCCTCATACCAACTTTCCCAAAGTAACCTGGGTGACTGGGAAGAGAAGGCAATCACTTTTATAACCTTGTTCCAATAACAGGCTTTATCATCTCTGTAGGCACAGCCTTCAACTGCTATGAATAGCACCTAGCAGGCACCTCACAAAAAAATCTTGGCACTGAAGTACACTACTGTTCAGTCTATGGAAAAAGTACATACTTCTATTACAGATTTCCTCAATTGTCAAAATAAAACATCTATCTAATTGATGCGAGATAGAAAAGTCCACTTTTCATATATTAACTAGAAGCGTGTCACTAACCTGGTGACTGACTGTGCCATAAAGCACACAGCCAGTGAATAAGGTCAGCATTTATTCTTCGAGGACTCTAGCACACTAAGGCAACAACCGATACCCAAGCGTGACTCTAGCCTCGACAACTGGCTCACCCAAAACAATTACAACTTTCCTAGGCTGTCCGAGTTAGTTAAAAGCGAAGTCCAAGCAACTCACTATTTGTCAAAGTTGATCCTGTGGTGATGCATACCACCAGCATTGCCGCGTCCTCCCGGGTGCTTCCGGTGCTTGCCTGCAGGAATACAAAACTACATGGCTAACACAACCTTCTCTAGGCGCTCATTTCTACGCTCTTGCTTTATGCCGTTCCCAGTCTACTCCTCTTTTCCACGCTCCCTATCACAGCAACCCAACTTTTAATTACCATGCCCCACACTTAAAACCTTCTGCCCTCCTGCTACTACTAAACTCGTTACAGATCCCTCCAAGAGGAAAGAAAAAAAACCTATCGTAAGGTCTTTCTTCGAACTCACTTCTAAGCTCCCAACCTCCTGACTAAGCGACCGGAACAGAGCCCGGTGGCCGACCAGAAGTTAGCACTTACCGATGCGGCCGTGGCCGTGGCTCACGTGGCCCCGAAGTTTCCGGGTCTTCCTCAGTCTGGATGGCTGTGTACGAAAAGGAGTTCACTAGTAAGGCCTAAGGAAAAAGGGCGGGGGAGAGGGGCGATGCTCGCCGGCCCGCGATGGGCCTCTGCAGGCCGTGCCGGGGCGGCGCCGGGACGAGACCCGGACCCGGGCCGCACACGCGGCCGCCAGCAGCTCCGGCCCGGACCCACGCCGTCCATCCTGCCCTGTGGCCGGCCACGCACAGCCTGGAAGACGCGCTCGAACCTGGGGAAAGTGGCGGGAGGGCCGGGGAAAGCGGAGTTCAGTGCCACCGCCCGGGAGGGAACGGACGAAAGAAAAGAACCACCTACCATGTCGGCGGCCGAGACCAAAGAGGGAGGTCTCCGCCGAAGTCTCGCGAGGTATGAAGCCCGGGGAGGGCGGGACTAAGGTACCTCACTTCCGGCCCGGAGAGCCGGCTTCGGGCGGGGCTTCGTCGATCTCGCGAGTGTCAGTCTCCTGTGCGCCGCGGGTTCTAAGGCTAGTCCTCTCCTTCCCTGCCGAGTCCTCGCGGCGTGGCGGCGGCGGACCCCTCAGGACCTTTGTAGCCAGCCGGTTGTACCAGCTCTGGTGCAGGAGTTTGCAGCATTGCATTGCGCGCTGCTTTGGTGCGGCCTGGGTGGGCCTGGCCTTTTCCTAGTCTTGGCCCCGGAACCACTTATGCCTACCCGAAAGGCCTCCGTGACCTCTCAGCCAGATGCCCGGCCTTTGTAATCTCATGTGTTCCCTCCCGCCCCATGTTGTTGCTTTTGGGTGGGTGGGTAATGTTTCTTTCCCCGGGTACTGGGGACTGAACCTCGCGCCGCGCGTGTCTAGGCAAGCGCATTCCCACTTGACCGACCTGTGCATTTTTGTTTTTGGAGATAGGGTCTCTTAGAGCTAGGTTCTGGAGGCAGGCCCAGAGCTAGTTCTGTTCTTCCCCCTGACCCCCCCAATAGCCGTGATTACAGCGCCCCTGTTTGTGTGAAGCCCTTGGAATGTTGCAACTTCTCTAGGAATGTCAGGGGCCTTCTGCCAGCCCTCCTAAGCCGGACATTCCCTTCCTTTCTTCTTTCCTCTTTCTGCTTTCTTCACTGGTGTCCTCTCAAGTTGTAACCACCTGCTAGGCTTCCGGGACCCAGATTCTATAAATTGTTTTTCTAAAGATTACAATTAAATTTTTTTTTCCAGAACCTGATTTGTGATACCCTAGCCCTTTCTTCTGCCTACCCGCACGGATGCAAACATTTCCCCTGACTCAATTCACAGTCACTCACTTGCTCACCTTTACCACCAAAAAATTTAGTGTGATCTTACATACTTGTCAAGTTTCATTTTTCTTCTCTGCTAGTTAAAGGTTTGGTGGTTTTCTCTTAAATTCATGCACTCCCAGTTCCTTGCATGTTCTTTTCAACAAATAAATATTTCTAACCAAAGAGTAGAAAAGACATCTCTTCCATCTCTAGACAGTTCCTTCAGCCAGTATTGAAGATTCCATTCCCTCAATTATCCTCTTAATGTGAGTGTATTAAATTTCTTTGCCTTGCTCTCTTTAGGTAAAGTTTGAGCCAGAATACATTCAGTTTTCCCTGTTTACCACCCTTGCGCTTTCCTTTACAGTCAGGTTCCCCAAAAGAGTAGCCTACAAAGTGTATTTGCTAGTCCCTGTTCATTGTTTAATCCACTTCTTAACCTTCAGCAAAACAGCTCTTACTAATCTCACCAACCAACTGTCAAAGTGAAGAGACTTACTGAATTCTTCATGCCAATTGTTCTTTCTATTGTACTTTACTCCTTTGACTTCTTTTCCTTCCTCCTACTTCACCAGCTATGCCACCACTTAAATGTTGGCATTTCTTAGTTTGAGTTCTGTTCCTCTTTCCACATAGAAGATCTTGAGTGGCTTCTATTCACATTTCTATTAAGCTCCACACCCAAGATACTCACTTGATTCCTGGCCTTAGACACTACAGACAAATATATCGTGGCAACTGTCTTTGCTCACTGGCATTTTATTTTTTAGTATCATGGAGAGTGACACTATTGTCCATTGACATAATGTTGTCAGATCAGATAATTATTCCCATAGATTCTCTTCCTCTAATTTGCTGTCAACATCTTTTTGTTTCTTTATCTATGAAATCACTTACTCTTTTTTAGCCTTAGCACCATTTTCTTCATTTCTTCATTCAGGCCCTCATCCATTTTTTTTTCTTGTGCTTGTTGTGGGAATTGAACTCAGTGCCTGGACTCTGTCCCTAAGTTGTTTTACTCAAGCCTAGAGCTGTTTTGCTATACAACTTGAACCACAGTTCCACTGACAGCTTTTTGGGGGTGGTAAGTTACTTGGAGTCACCCTATCTTTTGTCTGGAGTTTCTGCAGTCATCCCACCTGCATTCTAAACCTTCGAATTCTTTGTCTTTCCCAGAATACAGCCTACCTACATCTCAGCCTTCCTCCATTTGCCCTTATACAATCTTTTTACTTCAGTCATACTTGGTACCTCTCCATTTTGCTTTTACTCATGCCATTTCTTTTTTTTTTTTTTTTGGTCGGTCGTGGGGCTTGAACTCTGGGCCTGGGCGCTGTCCCTCAGCTCTTCAGCTCAAGGCGAGCGCTCTACCACTTGAGCTACAGCACCACTTCCGGTTTTCTGGTGGTTTATTGGAGATAGGAGTCTCACAGTCTCTCCTGCCCGGGCTGGCTTTGAACCTCGATCCTCAGATCTCAGCCTCCTGAGTAGCTAGGATTACAGGTTTGAGCCACCAGCGCCCGGCTTCTCATGCCATTTCTTATACCTGGAGTGCTCATCCTCTTCCTGAGTGCATATCTGAAATCTCAATCTGTTAAGGCCCACCTTATATTGTTTCTTCTAAGAACACTCTAGTCCACAGTTGTAATAGCCCCAATATCTTCAAAGCACCTTACTGTTTATAAAATCTCAGTGTGCAGCACTCCCAGCCTCAATTTATGCAGAAGAAAACAGGCATAGAAGAAACAGTGTAGTGACTCATCAGAGGCAACATAGCTGGTAAAGTACAGAGCCTGGGGTTCTCTCTGCTTTTACTTCACTGACCACTCCCCCTCTGACCTCACAACATTATGGTCTTCATCACTCCTTCAGCCTTAGTCTATGATCAGC